AGGGCTTGTGTGACAGAAAGATATTATTATCTACCCCTGTCCAAGTCAAGAAAATTAAGGCTTGTGTGGCAGAAAGACATTATTGTCTACCCCTGTCCAAGTCCAGAAAATTAGGGCTTGTGTGGCATAAAAAAACATTACATGTATTATATACCTCTGTCCAAGTCATGAAAATTAAGGCTTGTGTGTCAGAAAGATATTGTCATCTACCCCAGTCCAAGTCAAGAAAATTAAGGCTTGTGTGGCAGAAAGACATTATTGTCTACCTCTGTCCAAGTCATGAAAATTAAGCCTTGTGTGTCAGAAAGATATTGTCATCTACCCCAGTCCAAGTCAAGAAAATTAAGGCTTGTGTGGCAGAAAGACATTATTGTCTACCCCAGTCCAAGTCAAGAAAATTAAGGCTTGTGTGGCATAAAAACATTACATGTATTATATACCTGTACCACTGTCCAAGTCAAGAAAATTAGGGCTTGTGTGGCAGAAAGACATTATTGTCTACCCCAGTCCAAGTCAGGAAAATTAAGGCTTGTGTTGCTAGAAAGATATTGTCATCTACCCCAGTCCAAGTCAATAAAATTAAGGCTTGTGTGTCAAAAAAATATTGTCATCTACCCCAGTCCAAGTCAAGAAAATTAAGGCTTGTGTGGCAGAAAGACATTATTGTCTACCTCTGTCCAAGTCATGAAAATTAAGGCTTGTGTGTCAGAAAGATATTGTCATCTACCCCAGTCCAAGTCAAGAAAATTAAGGCTTGTGTGGCAGAAAAACATTATTGTCTACCCCAGTCCAAGTCAAGAAAATTAAGGCTTGTGTGGCAGAAAAACATTATTGTCTACCCCAGTCCAAGTCAAGAAAATTAAGGCTTGTGTGGCAGAAAGACATTATTGTCATCTACCCCAGTCCAAGTCAAGAAAATTAAGGCTTGTGTGGCAGAAAAACATTATTGTCTACCCCAGTCCAAGTCAAGAAAATTAAGGCTTGTGTGGCATAAAAACATTAAATGTATTATATACCTGTACCACTGTCCAAGTCAAGAAAATTAGGGCTTGTGTGGCAGAAAGGCATTATTATCTACCCCAGTCCAAGTCAAGAAAATAATGGGCTTGCGTGGCAGAAAGACATTACATGTATTATATACCTCTGTCCAAGTCATGAAAATTAAGGCTTGTGTGGCAGAAAGACATTATTATCTACTCCAGTCCAAGTCAAGAAAATTAAGGCTTGTGTGTCAGAAAGACATTATTATCTTCCCCTGTCCAAGTCAAGAAAATTAGGGCATGTGTGGCAGAAAGACATTACATGTATTATACCTCTGTCCAAGTCATGAAATTTAAGGCTTGTGTGGCAGAAAGACATTATTATCTACCCCAGTCCAAGTCAAGAAAATTAAGGCTTGTGTGGCAGAAAGACATTATTGTCTACCCCAGTCCAAGTCAAGAAAATTAAGGCTTGTGTGGCATAAAAAACATTACATGTATTATATACCTGTACCACTGTCCAAGTCAAGAAAATTAGGGCTTGTGTGTCAGAAAGACATTATTATCTTCCCCTGTCCAAGTCAAGAAAATTAGGGCATGTGTGGCAGAAAGACATTACATGTATTATACCTCTGTCCAAGTCATGAAATTTAAGGCTTGTGTGGCAGAAAGACATTATTATCTACCCCAGTCCAAGTCAAGAAAATTAAGGCTTGTGTGGCAGAAAGACATTATTGTCTACCCCAGTCCAAGTCAAGAAAATTAAGGCTTGTGTGGCATAAAAACATTACATGTATTATATACCTGTACCACTGTCCAAGTCAAGAAAATTAGGGCTTGTGTGGCAGAAAGACATTATTGTCTACCCCAGTCCAAGTCAGGAAAATTAAGGCTTGTGTTGCTAGAAAGATATTGTCATCTACCCCAGTCCAAGTCAATAAAATTAAGGCTTGTGTGTCAAAAAAATATTGTCATCTACCCCAGTCTAAGTCAAGAAAATTAAGGCTTGTGTGGCAGAAAGACATTATTGTCTACCTCTGTCCAAGTCATGAAAATTAAGGCTTGTGTGTCAGAAAGATATTGTCATCTACCCCAGTCCAAGTCAAGAAAATTAAGGCTTGTGTGGCAGAAAAACATTATTGTCTACCCCAGTCCAAGTCAAGAAAATTAAGGCTTGTGTGGCAGAAAAACATTATTGTCTACCCCAGTCCAAGTCAAGAAAATTAAGGCTTGTGTGGCAGAAAGACATTATTGTCATCTACCCCAGTCCAAGTCAAGAAAATTAAGGCTTGTGTGGCAGAAAAACATTATTGTCTACCCCAGTCCAAGTCAAGAAAATTAAGGCTTGTGTGGCATAAAAACATTAAATGTATTATATACCTGTACCACTGTCCAAGTCAAGAAAATTAGGGCTTGTGTGGCAGAAAGGCATTATTATCTACCCCAGTCCAAGTCAAGAAAATAATGGGCTTGCGTGGCAGAAAGACATTACATGTATTATATACCTCTGTCCAAGTCATGAAAATTAAGGCTTGTGTGGCAGAAAGACATTATTATCTACTCCAGTCCAAGTCAAGAAAATTAAGGCTTGTGTGTCAGAAAGACATTATTATCTTCCCCTGTCCAAGTCAAGAAAATTAGGGCATGTGTGGCAGAAAGACATTACATGTATTATACCTCTGTCCAAGTCATGAAATTTAAGGCTTGTGTGGCAGAAAGACATTATTATCTACCCCAGTCCAAGTCAAGAAAATTAAGGCTTGTGTGGCAGAAAGACATTATTGTCTACCCCAGTCCAAGTCAAGAAAATTAAGGCTTGTGTGGCATAAAAAACATTACATGTATTATATACCTGTACCACTGTCCAAGTCAAGAAAATTAGGGCTTGTGTGTCAGAAAGACATTATTATCTTCCCCTGTCCAAGTCAAGAAAATTAGGGCATGTGTGGCAGAAAGACATTACATGTATTATACCTCTGTCCAAGTCATGAAATTTAAGGCTTGTGTGGCAGAAAGACATTATTATCTACCCCAGTCCAAGTCAAGAAAATTAAGGCTTGTGTGGCAGAAAGACATTATTGTCTACCCCAGTCCAAGTCAAGAAAATTAAGGCTTGTGTGGCATAAAAACATTACATGTATTATATACCTGTACCACTGTCCAAGTCAAGAAAATTAGGGCTTGTGTGGCAGAAAGACATTATTGTCTACCCCAGTCCAAGTCAGGAAAATTAAGGCTTGTGTTGCTAGAAAGATATTGTCATCTACCCCAGTCCAAGTCAATAAAATTAAGGCTTGTGTGTCAAAAAAATATTGTCATCTACCCCAGTCCAAGTCAAGAAAATTAAGGCTTGTGTGGCAGAAAGACATTATTGTCTACCTCTGTCCAAGTCATGAAAATTAAGGCTTGTGTGTCAGAAAGATATTGTCATCTACCCCAGTCCAAGTCAAGAAAATTAAGGCTTGTGTGGCAGAAAAACATTATTGTCTACCCCAGTCCAAGTCAAGAAAATTAAGGCTTGTGTGGCATAAAAACATTACATGTATTATATACCTGTACCACTGTCCAAGTCAAGAAAATTAGAGCTTGTGTGGCAGAAAGGCATTATTATCTACCCCAGTCCAAGTCAAGAAAATAATGGGCTTGTGTGGCAGAAAGACATTACATGTATTATATACCTCTGTCCAAGTCATGAAAATTAAGGCTTGTGTGGCAGAAAGACATTATTATCTACTCCAGTCCAAGTCAAGAAAATTAAGGCTTGTGTGTCAGAAAGACATTATTATCTTCCCCTGTCCAAGTCAAGAAAATTAGGGCATGTGTGGCAGAAAGACATTACATGTATTATACCTCTGTCCAAGTCATGAAAATTAAGGCTTGTGTGGCAGAACGACATTATTGTCTACCCCTGTCAAAGTCAAGAAAATTAAGGCTTGTGTGGCAGAAACACATTATTGTCTACCCCTGTCCAAGTCAAGAAAATTAGGGCTTGTGTGGCTGAAACACATTATTATCTACCCCAGTCCAAGTCATGAAAATTAAGGCTTGTGTGGCAGAAAGACATTATTGTCTACCCCTGTCCAAGTCAAGAAAATAGAGGCTTGTGTGGCAGAAAGACATTATTATCTACCCCAGTCCAAGTCAAGAAAATTAAGGATTGTGTGTCAGAAAGACATTATTATCTTCCCCTGTCCAAGTCAAGAAAATTAGGGCTTGTGTGGCAGAAAGACATTACATGTATTATATACCTCTGTCCAAGTCATGAAAATTAAGGCTAGTGTGGCAGAACGACATTATTGTCTACCCCTGTCCAATTCAAGAAAATTAAGGCTTGTGTGGCATAAAAAAACATTACATGTATTATATACACTGCACACACAAAACCATCCACCCATGACACACACATACACAGAGCCATACACTGCCCACTACTTTGCTTACAAATACTACACACTAACAAGTCACACACACACACACACAAGTACTGTAGATGCGCATAGTACCTAGCTACCTGGATGTCAACTGTAGATGGCACTATTCCGTTTGGCTACTTGGACACAACCCCTCTCTAAAATTTGGACATTTATTTTGGGCCTTTTTGGGGGAAAATTTTTTCTTGTGTGACTAAATCTTAGTTGATTAGAAATGACATGTCAGACATCTTAGATACTGAATATGATAGTTTTCTTGTGTGGCTAGACACACAAGTCTAAAGTGACACACAAGGATATCTCATACGTAAAACTAAACACACAAGCATACCATCGCAAACTCGTACAGACGTACAGACGTACGGACGTACGGACGTACGGACGGACGGACGGACGGACGGACAACCAGAAAACATAATGCCTCCGGCTACTTCGTAACGGAGGCATAAAAATTCATAAATTTGTCTTTTTCTTTTGGTCAGATTTCATCTGGAGGATATACCAGTCTGCTTCTCTGATTTTTCTGCTTCCTTCTGGAATAGTCTGCTATCAAGGCTGAATTACCCTTTAACTTAATGAAGGCCATTACCTTTTGGGCTTCAATAATACTGGAGAGGGCTGGAGCAAAGTCTAGCTCCACTTGCACTGTTGTACAGTAGAACCATGATTCGTCTTTACCACCGCGTAAGGTGACAATGGATTCCATATTGCTGAAATAACAAAAACAACTGAATTACTCACACCCTTACCAAGTTTTGATATTTCTTTAAAAGTTTTTGAAAAATTGATTTCTCCCTATTTAGAGGTGTCATAGTCTAGTGGAAAAGTCTGTGGTTCGAGTCCCGGTGTGGCACTATGGCCTTTGGCAAGACATTCACCTACATTTGCCACACTCAACCCAGGTGATGTAAATGGGTAACTGGTAGGAATTAATTCCTTGAAATGCTAGAGCGCCATGATGCAGCTATGCTAAAGCTGGGTAATAGTCGACCTAAACCCTTTCCCAACAATCATTACACATTTTAAGATTTGGCTCAATAAGTTTTGATTCAGAGCCTTACAAAAATATACTCGATACACAAGTAGAAAGGGCAAACATTTCTGCAGACACCGCATCCATTTTGGTTTCATCACTATATTACATTTGACGTTAGGAATTTTAAACAATTTTAACTCCTTAAATTGGTAGAATTTTTAGAGATTGAAGATCATTATGTTTTGATCAAAATTTGCCATTTTAAAAACTTTTCAAGAACATTCTTACCCATGCACATTGTTTTCAGAGACATTGCATTTTATTCTATCACTGTAGAGATGAAAGAAAAATAACATTGTTGCCAACTTGAAGAACGTGTGACCGATATCACCCTGAAAGAGTTGATGCTTTGAAAAAAAATTGACTGTAGTAATCTTACTCTAGTTCCACTTTGCCTTGGGGGTCCTTGAGTTTCCAGTTCAGTAGAATGAAGCTGTACTGGCTGATGGAGGGAGGGACCTGAAGTCTCTCTGCAACTGCTGCATAGGGTACGGCAAGACAGGCGGGTAAAACCTGGGATATGGGGAGAAAAGGTCAAAACGATTGTGTCCATTAATGCACACTGGCAAACAATGAAAGGTAGCCATTGCATATGATGATGATGATGATGATGAACAGCATTTGTATGGCGCAATATATCTGTTTCAGAAAACATTCAATGGCGCGAGCTCCTCCAATAAAATTAGCATTTAAATGTCTGAAGGAAGATGTGAGTTTTGAGAGAAGCTTTGAAGTGGTCCAGGTTGTCATTTCGCGAATAGATGATGGGAGGGAATTCCACAGGCGAGGAGTAATAGAAGAAAACGCTCGGTCCCCATATCAGCCCATAAATGTCTAATTCTATCTACCCATGCTCCATAGCTTGGAGAAATTGGAGAATCAGCACATTTTCATTTTATCTTACTAAATTTTGTTAAAGCCCTTACAAAGACTACATCAACTCTAAAGACTTCTAGAGAAGAGGCGTAAATATTCACTTCTGAATGACAAACGCCTATAAACTAAAACAACAACAACAACAACAACACATTTTCACAAGGAAGATGAGACAAACAGCTCCCAACAAAAAAAGAAAGATTAAATCTCTGAAAGCGATCACTTTTGGATGAAAAAAAGGTGTGAAAAAAGAAGAAGTTATGAAAATCTTGTTCTTCTCACTTACCTCAGGTATGCCCTCCTCTCCGTCGCACCACACATAGCCGTATGTGATGCAGGTCAGGTACACAAGAGCCGTCTTCAGCTCGGCGGGTGAGCTTAGTCTAGCGTGATCCAATAATGGTAGCTGCAATGGGAATGGAAATTTAAAGAGAACAGACAAAAAAAGGTTTAACCCTTTCAAGACAGGATTCAGTTTTAGGGCTGAATTGACCACATACGATATACAATTTGGCAACAACAATATTTTTTTGTTGGTATATATTGTTAAAATAAAAATATGTCTCTGATAAAGTACATGATCGAGAATAATTGAAAAGTTGGAAAAAATGGCAAATTTTGGTAGAAAACAATGATTTTTAATCTCCCAACATGTTGCCAATTTCACAATTTTAAAGCTTTCCTTCCTTTTTCAAATTCCTGGCACGAAATGCAGTTTATTGTTTAAATGGATGCAGCATGTGCAGACATTTTTGCCCTTTCCACTAATGCATCTGACATTATTTTCAGGGCTCTGAATCATATTTATTTAAACAAACCACAAAATAATATGTATAATTAATTTAGAGTTTGTGTCTTCTTCTTCTTCCTTTTTGAGTACAGACCTCTTTACAGAGTATTATCGTACTTTATACAACACCTACGTGGATCCTTGTCATTTGATTGGAGGAATTGTTGGTCACATGATATTCAATAGATGTTATATTGCACGGTCGTGAATTTTTGGTTATATGCGCCATGCATTTTTGGTTATATGCAGACTGCGTACCTCTCAGCCGTGCGCGCGCGCGCGTATCCCTGCGTGTATCTGACGCGAAGGCAATCTGAATGTAATCAAAAAGGCTTGACTCAAACTTTAATTTATCTTTAATATAAGGGGTAAAGCATAATTTTTTGATTAACGTACTATTAGATCTTCTTCAATGTTGTATAAAACAAATAATGAATGTTTTTCATTCGTTCAATGATGCGAATATTTCCTTGAAAGATTAACGTTAATTCTATTCAACTCGGCTGACGCCTCGTTGAATAGAATGTTAATCTTTCAACTCATGAAAATATTCGCACTATTGAACTCATAACCATTCATTATTTGTATAATATATTGGGGTGTGTGCAGGTGGCCGGTGGACCACTTCACCGGGGTTTCCCCCTACTCTTATACGAATAGTGCAGTGGGTTCTTAACGTGCAAAGGTAGTGACTCTTCTCTACACAGGGCCTCCATTTAACGTCCTATCCGAGGGACAGAGTGTTTTCCATTTAACATTACCCGCGTCTATGAACAAGGGAAGGGGCACGTTATAACACAACACAGGCTTCAGTCATCCGCGTGGGTGGGAGTCGAACCCGGGATCTTTGGTTCGACAGGCGGACGCTTTACCGACTGAGCCAACTCGCCTCCTTGCGACCTATCTACAATTAGTCACCTTTTGAACGTGTTTCCTGAGTGTACCTCCCTGCACCAGGGACTCTGTTTGATGGGCGAGGTCTGACCAGGGTGTGAAGTAGTCTGGCAGATCAGTCTAAAAAACAAAGTGAAATCGAAAGGGCACAATTGACATTCTGCATTGGATATACAAGGTTCACAATTCCAGACAAATTATGCATTCAAAAGATTGAATGTTTAGCTGTTTAGAATGATCATTTTAGGCGACAACTGAAACTGTTGAGTAAAAAAAAATTAAAAAAATTGAAGTGCTCAATGGGTCAATGACTTTCTCGTGATACAATCCCGGTCAGAGAACTCGGACTGAGTCGTAGTCATACAATAAAAATAGGATCTCACTCTAATTCTCACTCACTTACTAGACATGCACTTCGTTTCATTTGTAACTACCAGCGTGATGCCAGTGTAACATCCATGCGAGAACAACTTAATCTCCCAACTCTTGAAGAAAGAAGAAAACGGGCACGTTTGTCAATGTTCTACAAAATAGCGAATAACAAAATTTGCGATACCAATACCGGATTACATCAAACTGAGGGAGCGAACTACAAGGAGGAGTCAACAACAACGATATATGAGACTAGGCTCTTCAATGGACACTTACAAATTTAGTTATTTAATTCCCAGGACACTTGAGGACTGGCCGGGACGGGCTACCTCAAATCATCGTTGAACTCCCTTCTTTGGAGCAGTTCAAGGTGGCTCTTGAAACAATTTAGTTCCCTTTTCAGGAACTGTATAGCATATAGAGATGTATATAACAACTCTATGCTTTACCCTCATCTAGATGCTGAACAGGCGTTGATGAGTATTAACATAGAAGTAGAAGTACATGTAGAAGTCTCGCATCATCAACACACAAACATTAGACCACACACATTTTAACACTATGGAAGTCTGAAACTTCTTACGTCTATCTTCTGCTCAACGAAGCCATAGAGATGAGAAGCATGATAATCCTCTGGATCAGCCACTGTAGTAGATTTCTTCTGATCATCCGAAATCTCAGATGTGCTCGATGTATTCAGCCCATCCATGTTTTAATAAGCTGCAGCAAATGCGCATGCGCAAGACTTCGGGGATTTCCCGAAATCTGGTCGGTTAGGTGGGCATTAGATCGACATCGCGGCATCGCGAACTGGCCCTCTCCCAAACGAGGCGAATTTGAAACATTTAATTCCCTTTAACGAGATCTAGATGGTTATGGATACCTCCCCTCCTGCCCCTATATAATAAGCCTATATTTCTCTTTAATTTGCTATGATAATTAAAGTCGATCAGTGTATTTAAACTCAGTGAGGCAGAGTAAATCCCCTTATACTGATCTGATCGGTGCCGATCGAGAATTAAACAATTTAATAGAAATTTGTGCTAGTATTTCTGTCTTGAAATGCCCTTGTACTGTCGGGTTGTAGGCTTGGCCGCCACCGCCTCACCCCCCCCCCCCTCTCTAAAACCATACTCCATCTTCTCCACCTTGGCTGTACTTCTATTTTGTCTTCCCTTACATCTCCCCCCCCCCCCCCCCTCTCTCTCTCTCTTGGTTCCTCTCTTCCTCTTGAATTTGTTCTACCTCTATCTTCTTACATCTCTCCTTCTCTCTCTTTATATTTATCCCTCTCTCGGTATCCATCTCTCTCAAACATGTTCCTTACATCTCTCTCTCTCTCTCTCTTTGCATCTACCCTCTTCTTTCTCCAGCTCCTCTCTCTAGTTCCCTCATCCTCAAAATCTCTCCTCCATATCCCCCTCTCTCTCAAATCCTGTTCATCTTTGCTTTCTCCAGATCAACTCTCTTTCTCTCTACTTTCCTCATCCTCAAAATATCTCCTCCTTCATATCCCCTCCCCTCCATCCTTCTCCCTGACTCTCTTTCCATCTCTCTCAAAACCAGTTCCTCTACAAATCTTGCCTCTTATTTCTTCAGCTCTTCTCTCTACTTCCTTCATCCTCAAACTCTCTCTTCCTGTATACCCCCTTCGACCCTCTCTCTCTCTCCCTCTCTTTCTCAGCCTCTCTCAAAACCTATTCTTCTTTGCATCTCAAACTCCCTCTCCCTTCTCTATCTCTCTCTCTCTCTCTAGCCACTTCATTTCTCCCTATAAGTCCAAATGAAACGTAATGAAACATACTTCCGCAAACTCTTTCAATTTGCTTAGTGGCACAACATTTTAGTTCAATCATTTACTTCAGTTGCATCCTCTTGAAATATGTGGCACACACACACACACACACACAAATACAATCATGAACTGCATCAAAACATTGGCCTTTAAAATCACTCATTGAAATGTATTTTCCAAGTATAAACTACAATTGCATAATGAGCTTCTGGCTCGAAACAAGCAATACATGACACATTTACAGTCTTAGAATCCTATCAAATATCATGTTTTACAAAACCACTTCAAAGAAAGACTACTGGTAGTTGTTTTCCTTATTCATCCATTGGTAAATTGCTTCCAATGGGTGGTTTTAAAGTGTAGTAATTGCCTAAAAAATAATATCTGTATACAAAAATGTAGTTAGATTGTATAAAATCAACCTTTAAAATATTAATCTGGCACTCTATAGAGTGGTGAAGTGTGACATCATCAAAATTCTATTTTTGGAATTTCTCAATTTTTTCTTCATTTTCCAAAATAGCATAACAAATACTGTCCAAATGTTGAAAACCAATTAAATAGGTGAAGTATTGGCCGAGATATGACCACTGGAATAAATAGATTTCAGTGTAATATTTCTCTGGGTCATAACATTACAAGCTTTCATTACGGTCTTCATCTAAATTATGAGTGACTTTTGGACATGAAAATATCAATAAAACAAGTAAAATGTATATTTCCTACTCCTCATTTCCTTTCAGGCAGAGCCCCGGTAAGAGTTTGTTTAAACTATTATGTATTAGAGTACAGCGTCCAATATAGAGTCCAATACCATAATCTCTCACGCAGAGCTGCAAGGTTCTGTCCAAGTTTTAACAAGAGAAACAAAAGGGGGTCGTCATACCTTACCTGAATTACATTGGTTCCTGTGCTATAGTGGTGGGGTATATTTTTAATGAAAGGTTTTTGTAATGTCTGTTTCCTCCATACAGAAAGAAATTCAAATGTGATGCTGCCCCAACTGCTGGACAAATCTTCAGCTTCAGGCCCCATCCTTAAGATTTTCTTGGAGTTCCTGTGATAGACCACGACCAACTCTTTGATGATCCTGCAACGCCCTAGCTACTGGACAATGTTACCACAACTCTTCAGCTGTGGAGTCTGGACTACACGCTAAGAACGGGTTTACAATTCAGCTCTGTGCTGACATCCAACTGACACAATACCCTATGATGTAGGGGCCGGAACACCCTTAGGACTGCAATACAATTTTTCAGCTTTCGACTTTCGTAACTGTGGAGCTCAATCAACTCTGCAATGACATCCCGATGTGATGCTGCCACTGCTTCAGGATGCTGCTTTTCCATCACAAGTCTTCAGCCTTAAGCTCTACCTTCATACCCTGTTTCACATATCAAGCAAATGGGATGTTCCCTTAATAGCTCCTGGTCAATAGTCCTGATACACGACATGTTCCGGATTCAGCGGTCATGAACCTTTCACAGCCATCTTTCTGCGATGGACTTCCTCTGTCTCTGCAATGACATGCGGATGGGACGTGTCTGGAGCCACGTCTTCACCTGTCCTTTTGATCTTGCTACCAGCGACAATCCTGTTCTGACCTAAGGAACCCACTGCCGGACTCTGTGGTCATGAACGTTTCACAGCCATCTTCCTGCGATGGACTTCCTCTGTCTCCGCAATGACATGCAGATGGGACGTGTCTGGAGCCACGTCTTCACCTGTCCTTTTGATCTTGCTACCAGCGACAATCCTGTTCTGACCTAAGGAACCCACTGCCGGACTCTGTGGTCATGAACGTTTCACAGCCATCTTCCTGCGATGGACTTCCTCTGTCTCCGCAATGACATGCAGATGGGACGTGTCTGGAGCCAAATCTTCACCTGTCCTTTTGATCTTGCTCCCAGTGACACTCCTGCTCTGGCCAAAGGAACCCACTGCCGAAGCCAACCTTCCCTGTTGAACAGCCTCCAGGTAGTTCTTTGCAAAGGCTCGGACGGGTCCTTCAAAGGCCACTGGATCATCAAGCAGCCTCTTTTCCAAATCAGCAAAGACCTCCTGCAGCTGTTGATGTGCTTCGCGGGGTACGTACCCCACTGTTTCTTCCATCCTTCCTTCGTCGTCATCGCTGCTGTCATTGATCATCCTTGAGGCGGCTTGCTGTTCCAGGACAGCGGACAGTTCCATCATGGCCTCCTGCACTTTGATGTCCTCAAGAGGCAGTTCTTGCTTGCCATCGGATGTGATCTGAACCTCCCTGCTCACAGTCAATGGCTGGTACCAGACGTCATCCTGCGTCTCTTTACCTGTCAACAAAGAAGGAAAACCATCCACTGTACTGTCTTCTGATGTAATAATCATGTAAAGGACTCACAAAGGACTCACTGAATTTCAATGTTCTTAGTACAGTGTTCTAGGGGGAGTTTCACAAAGATCCTAAGTTGAACTTATATCTAAGTTGGACTTAAAAATTATGAAAAGCTATTAGCATCTATGAAATTATTTTGTAAAAGTTAATTTAAAAGGCATAAAATGTTGATTCAAATCGTTATTATTTTATGTCTAAACTACTTGAATTTTCACTTTTGAATATATATTATTTCAGGCTACAAATGGCTCTCCATAATTTTTTAAGTCCAACTTCGAGTTAATTAAATTTGACTTAGGATCTTTGTTAAACACCCCCCTGATGTAAAAAGCATGAATACCTGTGCTGGTATTCAATCTCAGCCTTGAATTCAGTCAGTATTTTACTTAGCATTTGGCTCAGCTAAGTAAATGAGTTATCAAGCGTGTTGCACATCCCTAATTTCCTTCACGCAAATAGTTCTGGTCTTACGATGGTAACAAGAACATGATCCTAAAATGGGCTTTAAGTGGAAGTCCACCCTGATAATAATTTGGTTTTGATAATAACAAGTCAACGCAAAGCGTAGTACTGTATCCCCTAGCCGGGTACAAATGGCCTATATAAGTTAGAAATTCTATAAAAATCCACCATTACTTAAGCTATCAAACTGAAACCACAGGATTGTAAACCATAAATTGTATCATCCTATCACTTACTGTACTTGTTTTCTGTATCCCCAATCTCTCACTTCATTTTGGCATTGTCTACTCTTTGTATCATGACCGTGTTCTTCTATCTTTGTCATGTAAGTATTGACCTGTCCCGCTCTCGTCTCTGTCGACATCTTCATTTTCCCCCTATTTTGTATTTCCTTTTGTAGTTACTGACTTGTTAATTTAATTACTCATTATTCCTAAGTATCATTTGAGGTGTTCACACTTGTACAAGCATTGCTTTTTAGTGGACCCCTAATGCTTATAATTAATTTGAATTTTTTTTGTTGGAAACATGAATAAACTTAAATTTAAATTTAAATGGAATTTAAATTGAAATTGTAGAAGAATGGTTCATATTACTTTTAAATGACAAGCAACGTACCTGTAGCGATTTTGGTGAACAAGGACCTAAGCTCGGTCGGGAAGAAGGTCCCGCTGTTCTTTCCAAACTTCTTGAACACGGCCATCTGGTGAAGACAGGGGATACGCCCCTGTTCATCGTGACAGCTGCACAGTCCATGCTCCATGTTGATGTGAAAGCAGGTTAGGTTCTGACCATCCGACGTGTCAACGAGGACCTCGTAGTCTATCTCGTTCACCTACAGGCAAAATGGGGTTAATTTTAGTTCACATATCTGTATACATTGTATTTGTTTTGATGTAAATATTTATTCATTTTTGCAAGCAATAATTTATAGCTTGTATTTTTGGGGTATCTTTTTTTGTTGATGTTGTTGTTACTGCTTTGATGTTTTGAAGTAAACATTTTTCCCATTTGCTATGTTTTCTTTATATATATATATATATATATATATATATATGTTTTTGAATACTTTTTTATATGATTGTATGTTTGATGTAAACTTGCATTTTTTAATCTTTGGACTTTTTGACAAAGCTTGAATAAAACCTCATTTGAATTGAATTGAATAATAATAACAATAATATTTGGTTCTTGTATAGCGCATATCACATTATCACGTCACTATGAGCTTCCAAAGAGCTTTGGAAATTATTAACCCAGCTTTAGCATGGCTGCCATTAAGGCGCTCTAGCATTTCGAAGAATTAATTCCTGCCAGGTACCCATTTACACCACCTGGGTCGAGTGTGGCAAATGTAGATTATTGTCTTGCCAAAGGAGATTAGTGCTGCGGCGGGACTCAAGCCGCGGACCTTGTGATCCACAGTCCCCTGACGTATCCACTCAACCTCGACACCTCTACAGAAATCCAGTTAACTCTGACAATACCAGGGCCATAAATTTGTGACGTAATAATCAACCCCTATTATTGAAGGCATCAACTAAAAGACATAAATTAACTGTATAAAGTGAATTGAAACTTGGCTGTTAGTAACAAAAGTCCTGACTGATAGTTAACATCTGCGCATGAGCAGATAAAGGTAAGTTGTAACAAAATTCAAACCCAACTAGACAACCAAACAAGACAGATATTGCAGTTGAATGCTCACAAAACCTAAAAATTTGGAGAGTTTTGCAAATAATCTAGATATGGTGAAGCATTCATGCAACCAAAGAAATGAAACAGAAGATTCATTTTTTCAAGTAAAAATTTCTTACTGTAAAATGATTGCGCATTGTGAACAGTTCACAACAGCTCCATTTCATAAATTATCTGGTTTCAGGATACCGTCTCTATTTCAAGAAAAATTAATCAATTAACTCCTAGATAAAATTTGCAGTATTTAACCCTTGATTCGCCACTAATTCAATTTGGCATGAACCTTTAACACTGTTTAAAACCGAGTCATTTTATTGCAATTTGGCATGATGCAGGGCTTTAAATCATTGAATAAAATACCCTCCGAGGAATACAATGAGTCACAGGGATGTCATTAGAGCATCGCATAAAGTTTTAGAGCATCGATCGCCTCACCTTCTTCACTGTGGTTTCTGGGCCGAGCAGGTCCGTCGGATACGATGCAAAGGTCACTCGTTCCGACCCGTTGTTTCCTGCGTCAATGAGCTTGCGCTCGTAGTACGGACCGAGCCGGTTCAGCAGGTCATCAACCAACCGCAGGATGTTGTAACCTTTGACCTTCTGCAGAATCTTCTCCATGGGTACCTGCGCATTTCCATGATAAATGATTTGATTGTAGCACATTGTTATTCATATCTTTATGTATCATATTGAGAGTCGATCTTAGTCTTTGAGAAACACTCCACTGATACATAAATATAGGAATAAGAATGTGCTACAATCAAACCATTACACATTATGAAATAAACTAAAGTAAGCGCATTAGTACAACATTTCATTATGATTACATTTAAGATCAGAAGTAATTAGGGTAGGTTAGTCTTTAAATTGAGCAGTTTATAATGAAATCGAGAATATTAATGGATTAAAAAAAATATACAACACAATATTACATAGATTAAGAATCAACAAGCCTTCATTTAGTGATAGAAGAACAAATTATTTGTTTAGAATTACAAACAAGAGAAAACTTGTACAATTTGTACCTAAAAGTGCATTTAATTGAAATGAAAACCTGGAATTGAATTAAATTTAATTGATTTTCCTGAACCCCCCCTCCCCCCCGAACACTTAGTATTAGCACCAATAAGCCAGTTCACAGTTGCAGTTCGAGCATGAGTAGAAACAGGTCATTGCAGACCAAATTTTGAAATACACAGAGACAAAATACTGGATACGTGCTATTGAAAGTTATGTAGTCATTACTCATTTATGCACTCGATGATACACAGGTGGAAGTATTCTTTGAAAAGGGGAAACAAAGGCTATTTATATGTAGCATCTCCATCGCTGTAGGAGTGATTATTCAAAAATGTACAAAGCGGGACCTCTTCATGTTTGGAAGATCTGTTGATATTCGGGGTAATTTGGGACATGTGCTAACCATGAACTGGTCTGTTGTGTCAGGCACTGTTGAGAACCCTAAAATCCTAACATGCCTACCTTGACAGTCCCTAAGACACGGTTGTTCAACAAAGCAGGACTACTCTTGAGGGCCAGTGACCACATCTCCCTGCGCTCGTAAAGATTGTCCAGGAACTCCACAAAGTCAAGATGCGTCCGATTCTCCGCATCCTGTCTCGCAAGCTCATAGATGGAGTTCAGATCGTCTGGCGTCCTCGCCTCGATGACGGCCCTGAGATGTCGCAGAAGCTCCTGGCGATCAGCCTTGCTGACACTGTTCACCGGATTCCACAACCAGTCCTTTGCGGATTGGATGAGAGCCTGAGGGTTGACGAGCAGTTCCGCTGTCGGGTACACCTTATGCAGGGTCAATTGCTCTTCCGCATCCTCTCTGGTGATCACCACGCTCGGTCCGCTATGTCCGCGCTCGTAGTAGGAGAACTTCGGCAACAGCTTATGCAGGAGCTGCAGCCCTAGAGACAGTGTTTCCGAAGACCCTGAGGAAGACATCAGAATCCCTAGAGGAAGTTCCCCGATGGGGCTCGGTGTCAGGAGGACAGTGACCCTCCAGTTCTGCCTCTCCAGACCTTCGAACGTGTCCAGGTAGCACAGCTCTTTGCTGGTCGGCCAGAACTCGTGAACTCGCTGCATGGAGGCGGAGCAGATCACGACGACGGCATGACCTTCCCCTGTGGTAGCCATCTTGAAGTAGTTGTCGTTGATGTCGTTGAGTCGCAACTTTGTTTCAATCGCTTTTAGAAGAGTCTTTCGTATCTTTTTAGGGGTATCTTGCTTGTACAGGGAGTAGTACAACCTGAAGAAGAAAAACAATTCCAGGTCATTCTTTGAATCAATCCAATGTATGAAAAGACTTAACCTTGATAAGAAAACCTGTTACATGCACCGGCAAACATATATTCTAATGGAATCAGTATGACTTAATTGCGACTAAATCTCCTGAGAATAATAAGAATATGAGGAAAATCCTACAAGATAGAGTTGAATTTACAGAGAAACTTTAAGGAGCAAGAAACTGTTGCAGATTAACCAAGATACCAAGTGATCAAGGTACACACAAATTGATGCCACAAAATGGTGGAATTCCGATAGCAATTTTTTTTTTATGTCATCATTTTTTTTTAAAGACATGGTATTGCCGCATCATATCTGAACAAGGCTTAACAATTCCAGAAAAGTTCTGGACTCCATTTCACAAAACTTTTTTCAATGACAAATGAAAAAAATCAGTGACAAATCTGCTGATAACCAATCAGAAGCAAGGATTTTACTAGCCTATAACAAAAATGTAATTTGTCACTGATGACAAGTTTCGTGAAATGGGGCCCTGGTGACATCCTACCTAAAGCAGTACTGAACATCGGGGCACACCGATCTATCCGCTGACTTCTGAGCGTAGTCCGACCCGTATTCTTCCTGCAGTCGTAGCTTCAGAGCCTCCAGGGCCGCTGAGGGCTTATACCCTTCCTCGTAGAGCTTCAGGAGCCTGCCACGGGTCTCCTGAGAGACGTCACGTCTGCGCATCGCCTCTGCGCTCCTAATGGCGTGGTTGTGGGAGTTGTTGATCGTGCACCTCGTGAGGTAGCCCATCCGAATGTGCGGGTCTGATGACCGACTAGATAATGTGAAAAATTAGTCAGAATTATAATTATATTGGTTTAATATTTTAACATAGTATCTCTGCTGTCTGAATTTCTCATGGTCCTTTTTTTGGTACGTGACAGCAACATCTGATGTTCCTACAATTGTGGGAGTTGTTGATCGTGCACCAATTTCATGGGTCACATTACACGTAAAGAAGGCCTAGAGAATCTTGCTTTGACAGGGAAAAATGTGGGAAGGAGGAGTAGGGAAAGAAGGAGGATACTTTGGATAGACAGTCTGCAGATATTGTTGGAAGAGAGAGGAGTGAAAGAACTGGGAGTGGCACTAATAGAGAAGGCGAGAAACTAAGGGTTGTGGAACAACATAATCGCCAAAGTTAATCAATATGACACTTAGAGAGAGAGAGAGAGAGAGAGAGAAGCTGAACGTAGTAATGATGTGGCCTGAATTTCTAATTGTTATCTACGTCATAAAAAGAATATGAGCATGGTTGTAGGAGTTGTTGATCGTGCACCTCGTGAGGTAGCCCATGCGAATGTGCGGGTCTGCTGACCGACTAGATTAGGTAAAATCAAAATGAAAACAAATTGGTAAGCTCAACTTAGTAATGTAGCTGCCTGAATTTCTCATGTTATATCCATCATCAAAATAAGATTGTGGTTCATTTTTGGTACATGACTGCTAAGTTTGATGCCAACGAAAACAAATATTAAATTGGCAACATATATTGAAGGTTCAATAAAAGTTGGTTATTTTTTCAACTTTTAAACAAAAACTTATACCCATGTCTATTATTTTCAGTGACATTACAACAATTAGTACAACATAACAATACAAAAACTTGTGGCCATTTTAAAGAAGTGATGGGGATCAATTTCGCCCTTTAAAAAAATTCCTTTCCGAAAAGATATGTGACTGAATCCCTAGGGAAAAAGGGTACCACATCAGGGCCCTATTTCATAAAACTTGTTTTCATTATCAAATGCTACATTTCTATGGCAAATTTGCTCTCAGCCAACCAAATGCCACGACTTCAGTAGCTTATAACAGTTATTGTAACTTGTTTTTTATAACAAGTTTTATGAAACAGTGTCCAGGACTACAAGAGGATTGGATAAACTCTATTGATTTTATAGATACCTGACTCTTCCTCTCTCGTCGGCTTGTCTCTTTACTACGAGGTAAACTGTAGCACTGCATGATGTGTGCTTGGAGGATTTCCTAGGTTCACCTTTGGGTTTGGGACGAGTGTTATGATGGCAGCCGTAGTCCAACTAAAAGGAAAGGAAAAATGCAGGAAAATATCAATCCCATTTCATCTATCATGAAAGAAGAAGAAAAAAAGAAAGAAGAAAGAGAAGGAGGAGAAGGAGGAGAAAGAGGAGGAAAAGGAGGAGAAAGAGGAGATTATTAAGAAGAAGAAGGAGGAGGAGAAGAAGAAGAAGAAAAAGAAGAAGCAGGAGAAGAAGAAAAAAAGGAGAAGAAAAAAAGAAGCAGGAGAAGAGGAAGAAAAAATCAAGGTGGAGGGGATGGAGGGGAGGGGGTGGAAGGGGAGGTCGGACAAAGAAAGGGAGCAGTAGGAATTGATAGAAGAAGAAAATTCTTAAAATTCCAAATCAAATGGAGGTTAAGTAAAAGTGAACAGTCATACCCTGAATATATTCTTATTCCTAGCTCCAATGCCATGATTGCAGGGGTAGGTCTTCCTCACTCTCCACGTCGTAGCTGACTTCTCCTGCAGGGCCTTGAACCAGGCCTCCACCTTGTCACGTGTCGACAGCTTGATCCGAAAACTGGCCTTGAAGTTCTCGGAATTGTCTTCTGGAGCTTCGAAGAGACACAGCCTGTAGTCGTATCCCGTCGGCAAGTAGTCCTGGATGAGTAGGACAATGGAATAGAAATAGAAAACTGAATATCGAGGGGTCAGTGACACAAAGACGGAACTCCATATTTTGCCAAAATGAGTACCAGTATTTGATATAAAAATGTTTAGAAAAATATGGGCTTTCCAGGAAACACAAAGACTTAACTCCACCCAACACCCCATTGAAGTCAATGGCTAGTGAAACATAGACTTACATGTAACTCCTTAAGGCTCAAGTGCTAAGTGACACATAAACCACTTTTTCTCAAAATGGCCAAAAGGGAGTTACGTCTTTGTGTCACTGACCCCTCGATATGATATGATAGTATAGCTTCAAGTCCAACAAGCAGTAGAGGTGCATGACCAACAGTAAGTGGAAGATTGTGTTCCATTTGGGAGACTCTTTCTTAGTGTCACAAACTTTTGTCAAGGTTTTTGGTAGCCTATTTGTCAGACAGTCTCCATTTGGGGGGAGGGTGTTTCCTTTTTATGTTCTACAAAGAGTTTACCTTAATTCGAATGAGAAATACCTGCATTTAGAGTAAAGTGCATTCTGTTTATCTCACACAAGCAAATATCTATGAGTATGACGAAAATCCCAATTTGAAAAACTCACCTCTGCATCTGCCTCTAGACTGTCTGTTTTTGTTTTTTTCATCACCAAAAATTACACTGGTTTTTGGAGTGTAACTGTAAATGCTCAGTGTAAATGTCAGTTTTATTAAAGAATTTCTCAAATTACCAGACTGTTATTTCTGTCTAACTGACTAAACTGAGTAACTCTGGTTTCGACTCATGTCATTCTTCACTTTCACTTTCTTCTTCCATTTTGAGTAGACCCTACATAGTCTAGATCTACCTCTTAACAGAGTATTATCGTACTATACTGGGGTGTGTGCAGGTGGACCACTACACCGGGGCGGGGTTTCCCCCTACTCTTATACGTGCAAAGGTACTGAATCTGCTCTACACTGGGCCTCCATTTAACATCCTATCCAAGGGACTTTCTTACAAATAAGTCTTTATCAAGTCTTTATTTCTATCAACTTTGTTAGTCTCATCTTGATTTGAAAATCGAAATTGAAAATACATTGATCCTTTCGTCCTTCGTATCATAATCTCTCATCCTGCTCAACAATACATGATCATTCAATCATCGCATTTCAACTTCAAAATAAACAGAGGTAGACCTCTAGATCTAAATGAAAATTGTATCTCAAACTCAAAGTTTATCCTTAGAATATATTAAATGCTCTGCAGTATATCAGAGTAACATCAATCATTACATACATGACAATTGACATAGATTATGAATATGATGAAGGATTGAAGCTCAGTCACAGCTCAGTCATCTAGTCATACCGCGCCAAGCGGGCCTGTCCAGACGCCGGGCACAGCGGACTAGCCGATGGGCTAAAGCCCGATGTCCTCCTCCAGAATATTTAAAAAGTGAGAATGCAGTGACCCGATTTTGTCATCATTTTCATGGCTCTGACAATACCTTACCTTCAGGATAGTATTCTGAGGATCAAGTGTCTCGCATTCACATTTGAAATTAGCCATCTCCAGACCATAGAGCACTATGAAAAGTGGAATTTCGTACAGAATCTTTCAGCCAGTCGAGTCAAAATAAATTCTTCGCCGCGTATAATTAATTGCAAGAGGCGCGTCTGAAAGGAGACTAACACGTCAACACAAAAACACGTGTGTGGGACTGAAACGAAACAGCAATGTCTTCCCGTTCGAAATCGAGAGAAAAGAATGTGAAAGATGAAGAAAAAGACGTCGAGAATGACGAAGCGATGGAGATTGACAAGGAGTTGCTGTCTGCTCCAATAAAAGCTGTTAAGGTGAGAAAGAAATATTCAATAATTGGGCTTTTCTCAGTTGAAATTAGCATTGTCCCACGTATTCGATTTAGTGTTATCAATTAATTAGGCTGTGGCAAGAAGATAGAGAAGAAACATGAACAGAAGAACAGTAGGGGTGCTGGCGCTGGTCCGAGAATGAGGATTGTCCTCATAAATGAAGATATCCTCATAAACGCGGACAAAATGCCGACGTTTTTTTTCCATCGGAGTTCTGCGGGTTTCTGGTTACAGAACCGCCTGCTGGCAATGCCAAATTTGGATTCCCCAGGCCAGGGCCAGGGGCAGGGGAAAATGACCCTAGTTGACCGTCTACTTTTATGGGTTGTCCATCTTCCCAAGGATTTATTGCTCATAAATAATGTGAAGGTCTCTGTACAAAGTCAATGTAAAATGCATCAAGAAAATCTTTGGTGAATCCGTTTTTTGCATCGCCAATGCAATGTGCCGAATAAAAATATGAAACGTCTGCAAAAGTGCAGACGATCCTTATTTTTGAGGATCGACGCATCGGTCTGCGTTAACAGAGATGATCCTCGTTTATGAAGACGATCCTTATTCTCAGACCAGCGCCCCTACTGCTAGTCTAGACCAGTGGAAGAATATTACGATTAGTTAATAAAAAGATTGAGATGCGGTTGAAGGAGCTGGAGGAAGGGGAAGAGGAGAAACAAGAAGGGGAGAGAATATGTGGAGAAGCAGGGAATAAAATGAAGAAGAATAAAGAGTGGAAGATGGAGGAAGGAGAAGGAGAAAAAAGAGGGAGAGGGAGAAGAAAAGAGCAAGGTAAACTAGGAAAAGACAAGAATGAGGCAGAGCTAGAGGGAGACAAATCAATGGAATAACTTTAATCTATCTCCTCTATTTTGTTGTTGTTGTTTTAGTTTTAAGGCAAATGATATTTTTTCTTTGATTTGCAGGATAAGTGGAAGCTTCTGCCGGCCTTCCTCAAGGTGCGCGGATTGGTCCGTCAGCACATCGACTCCTTCAACTACTTCATCAATGTAGAGGTAAGTACTGTAACAGGTGGAGCTTTAGAAAGGAAAAATCCCACTGGGATGCATGGGGGTAGTCCGCCCCCCCCCCCTCCCCAATTTACCCGTAGTTTTTCTTTTTTCCTCAAATGAATAAATGAAAATAATGATGATGATGATGATGATGATGATGATAATGATGAAGAAGAAGAAGAAGGAGATGATGATAATGAGGATACTACTACTAATAATAATACAGTGAATAAATAAATATAGCGGAAAGTAAAGAATAATAATAATTATAATGATAATAATAACGAATAAAAACTATCCCAAGTCTTCTGAAAACAAGTGCATCCTCAACAAAACTCTGAAGATGGCAACACATGAGGCTTTTATTGAAATAAAACCGTATTAATTAGCATGTGTTTCAATACCTAGAAGGTAGCATTTTTGCTGATTGCTGTGCTTTAGATATTTTCATTATTTGTTCTTTTTTTTCTTCCCCCATGAACAGATCAAGAAGATCATGATAGCAAATGAGAAGATTACTAGTGATGCTGATCAAACATTCTACATGAAGTAAGTACAGTCAAACCTGGTTTCTTTTTACTTTAAATTTGTATTGATCATAAATAAAATATACCAATTACAGAGTCACCCAAAGCACACACAACTATTAAACAGATTTAACAAATTAACAGATGAACAAAAAAGGTATTTTTGAGAAAATGATATCCATGGTTGAGTAGGTACTGCTCTTTCCCTTCTTTTTCTACTTTTATTTCTTTCTTTCCTATTTTCCGCTCCTTTCTATTCTTTCTGCAAAACCTTATTAATAAAAATGTCTAAATAAATAGTAATAGTAGTATTAATAATAATCAAAAGAACAATAATGATAATGATAAGATTATTAATGATAATGATTATGATAATGATAATCATAATAATAATAATATTAATTATAATGATAATGATAATGATAATGATAATAACAATAATCATTATTATGAATTGCCAGAGGTACCTGGACAATAATAATTAGTTGTAATCTTTGACGACTACTGAATTTGTCAGTTTATAAATAATCTCTACTTTATCTCCTGCTCAGGTATCTGAATATTTACGTTGGGAGCCCTGACGTCGAGGAGAGCTTCAATATCACCAAGCCGACCTCACCCCACGAGTGTCGTCTGCGTGACATGACCTACTCCGCCCCCATCACGGTCGACATCGAATATACTAGAGGGCAGCAGAGGGTCATCAGAAATAACCTGCCGATAGGAAGGTATGAGAGATCTGAAACTTAAAGACGTATAGTAGTGGGGTTTCATGGGTAATTTTAAACTGTTCAGGTATTTTATACTCAATGGCAGGTGTTGTAAGTCACCAGAATTGGACTCCACTAAGGGTAATTCCATGAATTAGGGACCCACTTTATGACATTTTTGGTGTCTCTGCTACATATGGTACCCACACATATTTGTGGCTCTGAGTAAAGACTTAAATATTGGAGTGAGATTGTAAAATGATTTCCAAGCATATTATTGCATCCTCATACCTAGAATTACCCATAAGACAGACAGGTCTTGTGTAATGCACTGTGCCCTAGCCTACCACCTCATGGAATTCTCATCATATATATCGAATGTCCCTCACCCTCAAGTTTGAGTATTTTCTTGTGGGACCACAGGTATCACTTGATGAAAGAATTCTAACTATGAGACTGGATGGCTTCTGTATGAGAATTAAAGGCATTGTTTAACAATTGATACCAAATCTGATATGGTGTAATATTGAAGCCCTGAAAAAATTGCGCTTCAAAATGATCATGTAGACTTGAAATGCCTCAAAAAAGTAAAAAATCTTGGGTGTCCGGTTTTACCATACTCATTTTCCCCAATAGACTGACTGTAGTGTTATAAAAACCATTGGGAAAAACAGTTTTTGAAATTTCGATTTCCAATCATAAATACCTTGATAATCAGACAGGCGATCAACTTGTAAAAGTCATGGGATTCCAGACTGACCTAAAGGTTTATAATTATGATTGCAGCATGAGCTAAATCAAGGATTTTGTTTCAGAATCTGAGACAAAGATACTGAGTCACTTTAACCCTTTGCCTACGAGAGCCAGGTAGTTCCTGTAGTAAGTCTATCTGAATGAGAGAATTCAGTGGTCAACATGTTAACATTCACTTCTTATGATTGTCTCTCAAGGATGCCCATCATGCTGCGGAGCTCCAACTGCGTGCTGACCGGCAAGTCTCCGGCCGAACTGGCCAAGCTCAACGAATGCCCCCTTGACCCCGGAGGCTACTTCATCGTCAGGGGAACGGAGAAGGTCATCCTCATTCAGGAGCAGCTCTCCAAGAATAGGATGATAGTGGAGGTGGATCGGAAGGGTATCGTGTCCTGCAATGTAACCAGGTAAGGGTTTTTGTGTGTACTGGGCATAGGGATTGATGACCCGTTTTTCACAAAATAGGATCACAGTTGAACAGTGCTTATCCATTTTACAGATAACTTGATACCGTAAATCTCTGTGTATAAGGCGCAGCTGTGCATAAGGCGCATCCCTATTTTGAAGACAAAAAAAATAAATTAGGGAAAAAAATTGTGGAAAAAAAAATTTTTGAAAAAAAATAAATTCTGTCATCTTTAGTTTCTAAAAACAACATTATTACTAGGTCTTACTTAGTTCACAAGCATTTCAACTGTGCCTCGTAATAAAATGAAAGTATTTTTGAACACTGAAAAAAGAGCCATTCTGATCTGGTTAACAAAAAGCCACACAAAGTCTTTTTGAGGCTACAGAGATTTTTGAAAACCACTAAAAAGTAGCAATTTGAGGACTCAAAATATCCTGTACCTGTGTATAAGGCGCACCCCCGACTTTTGATTTTTGCTGACGGAAAAAAAGTGTACCTTATACACAGAGATTTACAGAAGTTCAATTTGATTCAATTCAATTTCATTTCACCAGAGCAATCAAAAACTTAACCCGTTCAGCTCGGCATTATTCAGCCTGATAGCCACCTCACAAACGAGATTAAAAATCGAACACGCCGTACCGTGAGACCGCTCAGCGCGCGCCACAATGCGTGTGCGTTCAAGCGGCCAGAGGCTTCGACTAACGGGAACCTAGCGCATGCGCAGATCATTTGCCAATCTGGTCTTGTCATGTCGAGAACACGTTGCACGGCCGTTCTCTGCTGTGCTCCAAGCCTCTCAGTTCTTTCAGCTCTTTCGTAGGGTTTTCTTCTTCGTTATCTTTTCTTCTTCTTCTTCGCCTCATTCTTATTTTGTTCTTCTTTTTTCTCTTTTTATTTAGATACTCAATTTTATGAGAAAAATACACAATTTATAAGAAATTAAGGATTTGAATGTAAATCTCTGTTGCATCATATTCATATGAAATAATTTACCAGCCTAAATTGACGGTTATAATATTATTTTGTCGGACATTATACTATAGCGAAAAGATATAGACATGATAAAATGAAACTAAAGAAGAATCCAGAATGGGGGAGGGTTGGGGTGAAAGGAGAGACAAAATAGAATAATAATAAATAAATACAGTAAAGACTATACCGATGTGCCATTTGGAGAGCAAAATAATTAGTTTGTTTTATTTACTTATGTAAAGCGCTTTGAGCATGTTTATGCCATATAAATATCAATATGTATGAATATATTGCCAAATTTTGACAATTGTAGTTTGTAAGTATATGTATTGACAAAGTATAAATACAAATAAAACCGACACAGAAATGTCTGCAAGTATTTGGGACCTATATAGAATGTGCGAAAAGAGCTTTGTCTTTGCTGTTCTTTGGCCCATGCATGTTCCCACAGCTGAGTTACGTAAGAGGAACAATGAACGCTGCTGAGGGTACGGGTCGTTGTCATGGCTATAAACTCTAAAGAGCGGAAGTAAGGTAAGGATATAATTGAATAATTGGATGACAGATCTGAGATTATATTATCAACAACAAAAAGAGAAGAGTATGAATTTACAAATAGTACCAAAAAATAGAAGAAAAAAATTAATAAAGTGAAAGGCGTAAATATTCTTAAAAAAAGAATGAAACGCCGATAATACCAAACAACAACAACAACAACAATGAACTGACTTTGTATTCATGTATAACCCTGCTTTATGTTGTTTTTGGGGAGGGAAGGGTCTTGTTGTTATTGCAGTTGTCGTTGCTGTTTTTTAAATTTTTAAATGGGCCCGTTCCGACATTCTCATAAATAAAAATCATATAACGTAAAGCCAGACTTTACCCCTATCTGAAACACTCATTCAAAGACAACAATCATGCACGATAAAGGAATGGACAAGAATATGTGATAAAGATAAAATGTCACAGACAAATAGATAATTATAAGAAATGATTGTTTCTCTCTCTCTTTCTCTCTGCTTATGTGTCTCTCTCTCTCCCTCTATCTCTCACTCGGTCGCTTTCTCTGTCTATCTGCCAATTTTGTTCTGCCGTTTGCTTGTATGCCGGCAACATTCCTTTTTTGAGATAGATTATTATGAAATAATGATGATGTACACACTTTATTATACCTTATATTTATTATAGCGAGCGAAGTGAAAAACGCCGGAGCGGCTGATAATGTCTAAATGCGAATAATTATATTTCCAAAGTAAAACTTTTGAATGAAAATCTCTGTTGCAACAAATTGATATAAACACTGTTTATTATGCTATATTGACTATACTATTATACGTCGGACATTATACTTCAGCGAAAAGATATCTACATGTATATGATAACAAATAGGACAGACTAAAGGCGACAAAAATCGGAGCTGGGGTGGGGGGGGAGGATGATCGGAGAGACAAATATCATATAAATAAATACAGTACGGACTACGTCCAACTTTCTATCTCTCTCGCCCCCTTCCCCCCCCCCCCTTTCTCTCTCTCTCTCTCTCTCTCGCTCGTTCTCTCTTTCTCTTTCTATTTCCCCCTCTCTCTCTCTCTCTCTCTCTCCCTCTATATGTCTCTCTGTTTATCTGGCAATGTCGTTTTCCATCTTCATCTTTTTTTATTAAATGTTTTCTATTCCTCCGTTTGCTTGTATGCCGACATCATCTCTTCCTTGAGATTAATTATTATAACGTAATTATCCCTGATGATGTACACATTATACCTTATATTTATTATAGGAAACGAAATAGAGAACGAGCGGCTGAAAATGTCGAAATGGAAAGAATATTACTGAACAATAATTATATTTCCAAAGTAAAACTTTTGAATGAAAATTTCTGTTGCATCAAATTTATTGATATAAAAAAAATGTTTAAAATGCTATATTTACAATACTATTATACGTCGGACATTATACTTCAGTGAAAAGATATCTATATGATGAAGAAAAAAAAGGGCAAACTATAAAGGGTAAAAAAAAATCGGAGCTGGGGGGGGGGGGTGATCAGAGAGACAAATATTATATAAATAAATACAGTACGGACTACGTCCAACTTTCTATCTCTCCCGCCCCCTAGCTTTCCCCTCCCCTTTCTCTCTCTCTCTCTCTCTCTCCCTCGTTCTCTCTCTCTCTCTCTCTTTGCCCCCCTCTCTCTCTCTCTGTCTTTCTGTCTATCTGGCAATGTCGTTTTCCATCTTCATCTTTTTTATAATGTTTTCTATTCCTCCATTTGCCTGTACGCCGGCAGCATCTCTTCCTTGAGATTAATTATTATAACGTAATTATCCCTGATGATGTACACATTATATCTTATATTTACTATAGGAAACGAAATAGAGAACGAGCGGCTGATAATGTCGAAATGAGAAGAACATTACCGAACAACAATTATACCAAGTAAAACTTTTGATTGTAAATCCCTGTTGCATCAAACTGATTGATACACAAATTATTTATTATGCTATATTGACGGTACTATTATACGTCGGATATTATACTTTAGCCCAAAGATATAAACAAAACAAAAACAAAAAAATGGAAAGAAAAAATGTGAGCTTGAGGGGGGGGGGGGGGGGTCGGTGAGAAAAATATCATAGTAATAAATACAGTACAGACTACGTCCAACTTTCTATCTCCCCCCGCCCCCCCCCCCCCCCCCCCCCCCCCCTCTCTCTCTCTCTCTCTCTCCCTGTCCGTCTGTCTCTCTGTCTATGTCGTTTTCCATCTTCATCTTCATAATGTTGTCTATTCCGCCATTTGCATGTATGCCGACATCATCCCTTCCTTGAGATTAATTATTATAACATATCCTTGATATTATACGTCGGACATTATACTTTAGCAAAAAGATATAATCAAACAAAAAGGAGACAAAATAAAGAAGAAAAAAAAAAATCAGAGTTGGGGGGGGGGGGGGGGGGTGACCGGAGAGACAAATATCATTAAATATCATTGTACGCATATTTTATTTGTTTTGTATGTAATGGAAAGAGATAAATAAATGACAGAGATTAGAACAAAATCATAATTCATCACAATCATCTCTCTCTCTCTTTCTATCTATTTATCTATCTTTCTCTGTCTGTCTCTGTCTGTCTGTCTCTATCCTCCCCCTTCCCTCTCTGAATACGTCAGGAATTTCGTGAAATTGGAATTGTGCTTCAGAGTATTTTATTTCCGTATCGCGTTGTTGTGTTTGTTTTTTGTTTTTTGAAAGGGTGCGGCTAATAAGGAGTTAATCGCAGTAGTATTGGTAGTCTTTTATTTATTCGAAAATAAATGATATTAAAAATATAGTAATTCATTATATTACGGAACAATAAAGAAAGAAGTGCAAACAACGTGATAATTCACTTTATTTGTCTTCGTCTCCATCTGTGTCCTTGTTCAACCTATCGTGTGAATAAAACTTAGATTATCCTCATTTCATGATCAGTTCTGTAGATGGCATGTACATGCATACATGATAATGATAATGATGATGATGATGATGATGATGAAGATGATGCTTACAATATTGTAATAAAATAGTAATAATAATAATAATTATTTTCTTCATCTTGCACTCGCTTTTCTTCATTGCCAGAAAACTTGTTTTATGTTGCCTTGCATTTTTTTCAACAATGGTAGCATCTTTGCCCGGGAAAAGTCTCATATTCGTGGCTTTACCCCCGGGGTTGCTCAAGACAAGAGTAATATTCCGTAGGGAGAGAGAGGAAGAGTAAGGGGTCGTTTTTCAGAACATAACATTTGAACATTTCATATGCCCGCTCAAGCCAAGACCGGCTTTAGGTTGATCAAGATATTTTACTTCAACCTGCTCTAAAACTGTTACATGCCCTCGTAAAGTTAGAGTGGTTGTTTGTATTGTAATGTAAATTGACCTATTTACGCCTACATCCTCTTCTTTCAAAACGGCAATCTTCCAGAGTAGTTACTTCTTTACATTATTTTGTTCCCCCTTAGCGTGGGGCAGCTGAGGGAGCCTGGATAAGCCTTTCATAAAAGAGGAGGTCCATACATGAATGATTCGCTAAATTGGTCAAGTTGATAACATGAAAAGCGTATTGTCATGTAAATACAATGACGTAAAAGATAGCTGTGGAGTCAAAACTTTTGAGACGACAGGCTTTATAGATAACTTATGAAAATATCATCGAATGTCGTTGTTTCATATTCTTCATTTCTACGTCCGATGAATACTCTTCTTCGCTTGATAAGTCCATTTGTATCATATTCATTTTCTGAGTCCGAGTCAAGGATCGCTTCTCGAGCATCTTCAACGCTAAAAATAGGCTTTCTCCGATGACGAGACATTTTGAGAAACTATCTTACATAGATAAAGAGCAGTTATAAGCAAATAATTGAGAACTAATTTGTGCAACCAACTATCATGAAAATCAAAAAGCTGAACTAAATAGTAAAACTCCGACACTTTATAGCACGATAAGTAAATAATAGCCGACAACCTTGAAACGAAACAATGGGATGGACTTTATCGAGACTAGCTAATCTCCCCAATAATAGGTCGGCCCGGTACCCTGTATACGTACGCATGAGTAAACTGAACTGAGAGCGCTAGGTCGAACGAGACTGTAATATACTATAAGCTTTTCAATAATCGGCCCGTTACCATGAATAGGCGTCAATGACCATATAAGGCCAAGGCTCATGCATTGAACGGTGTATCCGCGCGTGCCGAGTACAAAGGTATCCAGAGCGAGTGTGGAATTCGCTGCTTGCAAAATCATTATGTCCGGCTTACACAGTCCTAGGCATAGTAGACCCAGCTAGCTAGCAGCAGCGAATCCGAAAATCTATGAAAATAACGTAAACTGACTTGCATGTGTTCTATACGAATATCCTGAAAGAGGACTCGTGCATTCTCATGCTAAACTTGTAATAAAACAAAAATTACGCATCTACAGTCGGTAAAAAATGAGATGCATGTAGCCAAAGGTTCAAGGTTTGTATACAGGTAGTTTATATTGTATTTAGAAGGTGAATAGATGTACTTTTCTGCAATAAAAGAAGCCCTTGCTCGGACCCGAGAAATCTCGGTTCCCGTTTGTGAGTACGTACCTCGGGACCCGAGAAATCTCGGGTCCCGAGTTGAACGGGTTAAGTACATACATAGAATTATACATTGGTATAACAATATAAAAGTTGCTTGGTAGGTAGCAACTAGAAAGGAAGTGACCCTTATAATTTGGACAAGACAAAATACAAAATCCCCCCCCCCCCCCCTAAAAAAAAAAAACAACACCCTGGCATATAATATTACAGATACAGGCTATACTAGTGATATAAAATGCTAAAACTGAATTGATGTTTAATCTAGTGTATTACCATGTATGGGTTTTGTGGATGTGTGTGCCCTGTGGGTATTGTAGTTTATGACCCCCGTTTTCAGATGACAATGAAATACTGTTAAAATACTAGAGCAGTTGATTCTTGAAATACAAACATTTGTATACCAGTGACTCTTCAAAAATGGGATTGTTTTGTAGAATGTAACCAGGTACTTGGATTGTATAGGGATTAGACATGATAAATAATGACCCCTTTTTCACAAACAAATATAGTGACATAATTGAATGATCGAACTATTATAAGTTTTTGATTGTTTGATGATGAAAACAGGTACATGTGTTGTGTGTGAGGTAGGCATAGTAGTTGAAGACCCCCTTTTCACAAAATGATTAAATTCTCAAATAGTTGATTCATGATATTTTTTGTTCTTCTTCAGTTCCACCCATGAGAGGAAGAGTAGAACGGTTGTGATCGTGAAGAAGGGCAAGCATTACTTGAAGCACAACACCTTCACAGAGGTAAGATTCGTGGCTTATTCTTAAAAGTATTTAGTACAGAGCAAATGGGATGGGAGCTTGCAAGTTACGTCACATGAGGCCTGTCCTCATCAGCTATTTTAACTATCCTGATCGCAAATTAACCAGTTAATTTGCGTTTTCATCAGCTCTCAGTTGCAATTAGCTGGATATTTGTTTGGAAAATATCCAGGGAAATTTTTTGTGTTGTTTCCAAAATATTTGGGAAAAAGGGGGCTAATTTGCATCAGAGCTAGTTTGTGATGAGCGTATTGGTCTGGTGAAAACGCAATTTTAAGCTTCGGGATAATATCTAGAGTCTGAAAATAGCGGATTATTTGGCAAACTCGAGCTGATGAAAACGGGCCTAGAGTTGCTACTTTGTGTTTGGTAGATTGCACAAGATACACACATGGTACACACATGGTACACATATGGTACACAAGTCTAGAGGCAGCATTCTATACTATCTGCAAACAATTAACAGCAGCTTGACATATTCCTCAAAGTAAAATATCAGAGAATATTTATTGAGTCAGTAATACATATATCTAGGATGGTCCCCCTTCAATTTACAGCATTAATATATAAATTATACATTATATGCAACAAAACAACAAATTAAATATACAGTAAGCTTGCGGGTGCACCATGTGAGAGAGAGGGAGGATTGAGGAGTCCTAAAAAGGAATCTCAGTAATCTTTCTTGAGGGTTTGTTAGTCCTGAAAAGGACTGTTGGTGTAAGCTAAGAAAGATAACCAACAGTCTTTTTCAAGTCTACACCAACAGTCCTTTTCAGGACTAACAAACCCTCAAGAAAGATTACATAGAGGCCTTTTCAGGACTCCTCAATCCTCCCTCTCTCTCACATGGTGCACCCACAAGCCTACTGTATATCTACATCACCATGCAAGCCGACACTTACAAGCAGGGCTCTATCAATAACAAATGCTAAATTTCTAAGACAAATTTGCTCTCAGCCAATCAGATGCCATGATTTCAGTAGCTTAAAAAAGATATCGTAACTTGTTATTGAATTTTTTTTTTTATGAAACAGGTCCCAACTCCTTACAAGCTCGAGGGAATTGTAAAAAAAAAAAATTGTAGTATTTGTTTATTTCTTCATTTGTTTCATTGTTTGTTCTTTTGTTTGTTTGCTTGACCACTATCAGGACATTCCGATTGTGGTGATCTTCAAGGCCATGGGGATGGAGAGTGACCAGGAGATTGTCCAGACCATCGGGACAGAGGAATCTACGATGGTCAGCTTTGCTTCAAACCTGGAGGAATGCCATAAAATACAGGTCTACACACAACTACAGGTGAGTGAAGAGAGAGAGAGAGAGAGAGAGAGAGAGGGAATGAGAGCAAGAGAGGGAGTGAGAGCAAGAGAGGTATAGACAGAGAGGGAGAGAGAGACAGACTAGAAAGAATGAGGGAAGGAGCAAGAGAGAGAGAGAGAGAGAGAGAGAGAGCGAGACAGAGAGTCAGAGAGAGGGAGAGATAAATAGATAGACAGACAGACATAGAAAGGGAGAGAGAAGGGGGTGAGGGGGGGGGGGGGGGGAGAAGACTACAAGATAGACAGACAGTATGGCAGTGAGAGAAAGAAAGAGAGAGAGAGAGAGAGACAATGAGATAGACAGGTAGAGAAAGGGAGAGGAAGACAGCAAGTTGGACACACAGACAGATAAAATGGCAATGAGAGAAAGAGATATAAAGAGATAGATGAATGTCAAAGCCAGAGAAGAAATTATGTGAGGAAGGGAGGGAGAAAGAGAAAGAGATGAAATAGTTGTATAAAAGTAGGTATAATAACAATACATGTGCATAACCAGAGATATAAAGGAGATACCCATGTTTATATAAAAGCAGAGAGAAAGAAAAAGAAGATGAAGGTAAAAAAGGGAAAGTGAAGATAGCAAGGGGAAAACAGGGTGACTGAGTGAGAAGTAATAATAAAGAGGAAGAGAAAACAATGGGGAGAAAAAGAAACAATAAAAGAAGAAAGGAAAATAATAAAGTAATAATTGATATGATTTTTTTTTTTTACCTAGGCTCTGAAGTACATGGGAATGAAAGTGCGTCAGAGGAGGATGTGGGGAGGAGGCTCTAAGAAGTCCAAGGTTGATGAAGCAAGGGAACTACTAGCTACTACCATCCTTGCCCATATACCTGTAAGTAACTCCTAGACTTCTACCGTTCTAGATCTCCGCCATTTATGTGTCCATATAGAAGAAATTTGTTTTTCAATTTCTCACCTTATCATTTTTTAAATTTAAAAAAAAACTTTGTCATTTATTTATTAATTTATTTGCTTTTTCATTTATTTATTCATTCATTCATTGGATTTACTTATCTATACATTTGTATTTATTTATTTATTTATCTATCTAATTATTTATGTACATCCATTTAAAAAAACAAAACTGTAATAGCATTGTAGAAAAAACAGATTCTTTACGACCAGGTATGATGCAGACCCTATTCATTTTTCTTTTCTCAAAAAATAAAACAATAAAAACAGTCTGCTTCAGTACTGTGGACAACAATCAAGTCAAGAATCATCTTTAGATTTACAGATACTACCTTCTGCTACTCACAATGTCCTGATGTGTCTACAACCACGTCCCACAATGCATCACCAACTGATGATATGCGCTTGGGTACAGGAACCTGAAACTGCATTCTCTATGTACACCTGCACCGAAAGATTGCGCAATTAAAAATACATGTCAGCAGTGGAAGCGATGTCAGTAAAATACTGTGCCTTTAAAGCCCCACTGCACTACTTATAGCTACTTGTGCCCTCTATATAGCAAACAATGCCGAAGAGGTGACCATTGGTCCCCATGGTCCCCTTTTTCTAATGTTAATTCAGAGCTGATTTGATGAGATAACCACCTGTCAGTGACCATTCAGTGAGGTCTAATCCCTCCTGGCCAAACTAGTGGAGAAAGGCTTTAAATGTCCTTTTATTTATGGATCCACAGGTCGTGCAGTTCAATTTCCGAGCCAAGAGCATCTACCTGGCGCTGATGGTGAGGAGAGTGATAGAAGCCCAAGGTGATGCAGTCAAGGTGGATGATAGGGATTACTATGGCAACAAGAGATTGGAGCTGGCAGGCCAGGTAAGAGCAAATATTTAGGACAGAATATGCTGCTGTGTCTTGCAATGAAACCAGGTACAGGTTTTGTGTGTCTAGTGGGGATTGTGATTGAGTACCCCTTTTTCACAAGGTAGGGACATGACTGAATAAGAACATAGCCATTATAGGTAACTTGATAGTGTAACCAAGTATGATCAAATTAAAGAGGACCTTGCAAGATTCGTCTCAGAGTTGCCAATTTGAGTTCAATTGATCCCACCTTCAAAAATGAATACATTTCCTATTTTAATCAGATTTTGCTTAAACTTTCGCTGACCTGTTCCCCTCATTTATCTGCTTTTTACTAAGACCTACTTGATATCAGGGTGGACTTCCCCTTTGATCATAATTTGTTTATTTTTCATCAATTTGACAGCTTATTGCACTTCTCTTTGAGGATCTCTTCAAGAAGTTCAACTCTGAACTCAAGAAGTATGCTGATCAGAACATTCCCAGACCCAGAGCTGCTCAGTTTGATATCGTCAAGTATATGAGACAAGACCAGATTACAAACGGACTCATCACAGCGATATCCACGGTAAGAATGTGTTATATACAGTCGAACCTGCCCAAGGAAACACAAAAAGTGGTCTTTGTAGACAGGTTCCTTTAGTACATGTTTCAATGAGAAACCATTTTCAAGGGAAACAACAGATGTGATCTTTGTAAACAGGTGGTCTTTGTAGACAGGTGGTCACTAAAGCAGGTTTAACTGTATATCTATAAACACTAGCCCGGTGGTTCGTTGATCAATGAAAATTGTAAAACCAGACATTTTGGAGTGCACACAAATTTGCAAAGTTCACAAGTGTTTAAGAACCGCAAAAGTTTAATGCCTCAAAATAATGGAATCACAACTGTTACACCATAGAATCTTTGCAAAGTTTTCTATTCATGAAAGTTTCATGTTGCAAAAGTTCTAGTTTAGCAATATATATTGGTAGGAAGACATGTAAATGTGATGTTAATTGTAGAGATCAGAATGATGTTAGTTTGGATATTGTCAAGTATATGAGACAAGAACAGATCACAAACAGACTCATTACAGCTATATCCACAGTAAGTATTATTTGTACCATAGACATAAACAGCTGCTAGATTTTCCCTTTATATATGTCGTTGTCCTTTTCTATGTACTATCAATTATCACTCAATGGAAATATTACAGATGAAAACAAATATTGGCATACTTTTGAATGTACCAACATCGAGCTATATGAGGGAGTGTAGGCTGACAAGACTATGTGTCTTTCCTGTCGCCTGACTCGGGGCCAAACGGGTATAATACGACTACGGACAACGCGACCGCAGCAATCACGTGCGTGCAACATACGTGATACCAAAGCATGAGAAGAACTTTGGTCTGTTTCACGAACGCTGACCATGTAGAGAATGAGTTGCTCACTACCGTTAATCAAGTCCATTCGTTTATGTGCAGTTCTCCAAAAGAAGACGTAGATGGCGTTAACCAGTATTTGCCAAGCTACACTCCCTTTGGATATATTAAAAATTGTAAATATGAAATTATTACTTTTATTTCTTTGAAGGGTAACTGGTCTGTGAAGCGTTTCAAGATGGAGAGAGCTGGAGTGACGCAGGTTCTATCCAGACTCTCCTACATCTCATGCTTGGGGATGATGACAAGAATATCCAGTCAGGTATTATGATTATTGTTATTCATTATTATTTGGTGATTTGGCATTACCTGTGCCTGGGAAGGAAAAAAGTGAACTGAATCAGAGGATTAATTTATGTTTATGTTGATATATAAAAGATAAGTTATATTAGATATTTATTTGAAAATCTTAATTATATATAGTGTCAACTTTCTTTTTGTGCTGAGTGTATTTCCAGTAGGAAATTTACATCTTTCTGAAACTAAGATATTTAAGGCATTGCAGACTTTGTTTAGTTGGTAGCTGTGTTTGTCTAAGTATTCAAAGAATCATTAAATCTAGAGCTTAGAATCTCACTATTGAATGAACTACACTGTACATTTAAGTGATGCTGTGCCAAAATCATGAGGGTAACATTTAAGTTTTTCATATTATTTAGACAAAAAACTTTAATGAATGTAAGCAGGATTGCAAAGTTTGACTAAACAATTCTATAAACGTTTTGTAGATATGGCTTGTAGAGAATGATGATAATGCACAGTGTTCAAGTTAGAATGATATTTCTTATTCCCCTACAGTTTGAGAAGACCAGAAAAGTGAGTGGTCCCCGTTCCCTTCAACCATCCCAGTGGGGCATGCTGTGCCCATCTGATACTCCTGAAGGAGAGGTAAGAGAAATGATCACCAGTCTTGGTAACAAGTGATTTTATTCAGTGTATTATTCATGCGCCAAACATAGTCTACAAATCATATCAAATAGAAAATTAAAGATACAGATCTTAGATTGAATAGGGAAAAGGGGTTGGAAGATATGATATGATATGAACATGTACCTTTTTAAGCCCATCACATTTTCTTGTAACTAGGATCCAAATTTGGAAGAAATTGCATCATTTCGTTTGTGACAATTTGAATCGGTCAAATTATACTGATATATGGTTCTCAAAATTCATTTAGCCAATAAAATTGTAGTGCGGAAGGGGCTATTTTGGGCCTGCAAATCTTAGTGACATCAGGGCTCATGTTATAAGAACCTGTGATGAATTGCAACAGATGGGACTCGAATGAGTAGGTTAGTGACTCTCCGATCATTTTATAATCAATCAAAATCAATCAAAATTATGCCTATTGGTTCCTCAGATACTTCTAACTGTCTATCAATATTTTGTTTGTGTTTTTTTGTTTTTAAAGGGATGTGGATTGATCAAGAACCTTGCGCTCATGACCCACATCACAACGGACATGGAGGAGGCCCCCATTGTCAAGTTAGCATTCAACTTGGGGGTGGAGCCTGTGCATCTCATGTCGGGGGAGGAGCTTAGCATGAAAGATGTCTACGTCGTCTTCCTCAATGGTAAGATTGGCTAGTACAGTGAAACCTGTCTGTTAAGACCATCCAAGGGAGATAAGAAAAGTGGCCTTTATAGGCAGGTGGTTTTTATGTACAGGTGCCTTTCTTACATGTTTCAAGGGAAACAAAAAATGTGGTCTTTGTAGACAGGTGGTCTTTCTATACAGCTGGTCGCTGAAGCAGGTTTGACAGAAGAGATTACAAGAAAAAGAATTGAAGGTATAAATCTGGTAGATAAAAAGTGAATATTTGTTGACTTGAAGAATTTTTGTCACTACTTTACTAGTTAGAAACAATGTCTTTTTTTTTCTCTCCCCCCCCCCCCCCTAAAAAAGAGAGGTTGTAACATGAGGAATGACGTAAGTTTCTTAAGTGGTTAAAAATAAATAACCATTTTGGGGAATTCATCTCATGAAGCAAATTATTCAAAAGATGAGGGGAATAGATTATTTTCATCCCTCGTTGCTCCGTTCCAAGTTTTATCTTGAACAGGCTTCAATATTTGTGGGTCTCTTTCCCAACTCTATTGGTGCAAAAAATAATATCCCTTATTATTGAAATCTTCTGTCTTCTTCAATAGTGGAACCATTAAATAAAATATTGATTATTGATATGAAATTGACAGGTAACATCTTGGGTGTGGTCAGAGAGCACAAGAGGTTGATGCGTACCTTCCGTCTGGTGAGAAGGGCGGGGTACATCAGTGAGTTTGTCTCCATCTGTCCAAACCACGCCCAGAGATGTGTCACCATTGCATCAGATGGAGGGAGGGTGTGCAGGTAAGTTAGATGATGGATATGTTGGCGGAGATGATGATGGTGTTCACTCCTGATGGTGATGATGATGATGATGATGATAATGATGGTGATGGAGGTGATGATAACAGTAATGATGATGATGATGATGATGAAAATGATGACGACGGTGATGATGGTAATGGTGATGATGATGATGATGATTACAGTGATAATGATGATGATGATAGGGACGACGACAACGGTGATGATGATGATGATGATACTGAAGATGATGATGATGATGATGATGATACTGAAGATGATGATGATGATGATGATGATGATGATGATGATGGTGATACTAAAGATGATGATGATGATGATGATGATGATGATGTAGATGGTGGTGATATTGCTGGTGGTGATTGTAATGATCATGATGATGCTAATGGTGTTTGTGATGGTAATAATAATAATAATAATAACGTTTTATTTACCCAGGGTAGCCACTTAAGCTATGAAACTGCTCTTCCAGCGGGCCCTGCATAACATAATATGTTATTACTACCCTTCTCCAATCTTATATGCTGAGCGCCTAGCTAGAAGGCAGAATGTCTTATTGTTATAAGTCTTTGGTATGACTCGGCCAGGGTTTGAACCCATGACCTCCCGTTCATGAGGCGGGCGCTCTAACCACTGAGCCACCATGCCATCATGGTTGTAATGATGATGACCATTGGTGGTAGAGCTAACAAAAGTGTTAGAGTTGGTGATGGCCAAAGCAATGAATAGATGATTGTGGTGATGATTGTTTGAATGGTATTGTTGAATAAGTGGCGAGTAACATACGTGTGTTCATGTTGATTTTTAACTGTGATGGCAGTAGTTTTAATAGTTAAACATATACATGCACATCATTCGTTTTTGTCTCTCTCTTTGCGTACCTTCTGATCATTTAGACCTTACATAATTGTTGAGAATCTCAAACCGAGGGTGCTGGACAAGCACATGACAGAGCTCTCGCAAGGCTTCAGAAGCTTTGAAGACTTCTTGAGGGAGGGGCTGGTTGAGTACCTTGACGTCAACGAGGAAAATGACAGCTTGGTGGCGCTCTACGAAACACACATCTCAAAGTGAGTCACGGAGCTCAGAATTATATCTCCCCCCCTCTTTCTCTCTTTCGCTTTTCTCTCTCCTTCCCTCTCTCTCTTTCTCTCTCTCTTCTATCCCCTTTCCTCTCTCTCTTTCCCTCTCCCCACCCCTCTCTCTCCCTATCTCTCTCCCTATCTCTCTTCTCCTCTCTCTTTCTATCTTCATATCTCCCTTCTTCTCTCTTCCTCACTCCCTCTCTCTTCCTTCTCCCCACCCCTCTCTTTCTATACCTCTCTCTCTCTTCTCTCTCTTTCTATCTTCATCTCTCTCTTCTCCTCTCTCTTTCTATACCTCTCTCTCTCTCTTCTCTCTCTTTCTATCTTCATCTCTCTCTTTCTATCTTTATCTCTCTCTTCTCTCTCTTTCTATCTTCATCTCTCTCTTCCTTCTCTCTCCCGTCAAGGCAAGGAGCTCATGGGGGTGTTTCACAAAAATTCCTAAGTCGAACTTAACTCTAAGTTGGACTTAAACATTATGGAGAGCCATTTGTAGCCTTAAAATAAAATATATTTAAAAGCAAAATTCAAGTGTTGTAGACTTTTCATGAATCCACATCAAGAACATGAAATCTCCTTGATAATAGAAAATATGAATGATTTGAATCAACATTTTAAGCCTTTTAAAATAACTTTTACAAAATATTTTCAAAGATGCTAACGGCTTTCCATAATTGTTAAGTCCAACTTAGAGATAATTACCTTAGTTGAATGATAATTACCTTAGTTGAATGAAAACTCCCCTTTGTAATGCGTTGCAAGTTGGAGGCTGGCATATCTAAAATTTCATTCCATTACCTTGGTGATGCTACTCTCTTTATTCAGTGTACCTTCTCCAATACTTATGAATTTTCGGCTTAACGGAGACAACTAATAATGAGCGATTTACCATTCCTGTGCCCCGTCTTAAAAACAGTTCTTCACCACTGTGCTTCTTCATTGTACCTTCACTGGTGATCATATCATTCATACATTTCATCCCAACAGAGAGACAACTCACCTTGAGACAGAACCGTTCACCATTCTCGGTGTGTGTGCTTAAATAATACACATCTAGATGTACATATATATGTATCACATCATCTAGATGTGATTATCTACAGATCTTCTTCTTCAGTGTAACATGACTGGTGCCCCTATCTTTCATGTTTTTCACCCCAACAGAGAGACAAGTTGTCTTGAGATAAAATCATTCACCATTCTTGAACTGTGTGCTTAACCAATATACATATGTTTGTACCTCATGTTTAAGATGTGATTATCTAACATTCTTCCTCTTTAGTCTATCTTGACTGGTGATCCTATCTTTCATGTATTTCATCCCCAACAGAGAGACAACTCACCTTGAGATAGAAAAACTCACCATTCTTGAACTGTGTGCTTAACCAATATACATATGTTTGTACCTCATTTTTAAGATGTGATTATCTACCATTCTTCCTCTTTAGTCTATCTTGACTGGTGATCCTATCTTTTATGTCTTTCATCCCAACAGAGAGACAACTCACCTTGAGATAGAGCCATTCACCATTCTTGGTGTGTGTGCTGGACTGATCCCCTACCCCCATCACAACCAATCTCCCAGGAATACCTACCAGTGTGCCATGGGCAAGCAAGCCATGGGTAAGATAATCCTTTCCCATATCTATTCAGTGGGAGATGTAGGGGTGATTATAGATATACTGTAGAAGTCATAGTCGAATGGTTTAAAGGGGCTGTAGCGTGGCAAATACTGGTTGACGCCATCTACAACTTCTTTTGGACAATTGCACGTAAACGAATGGACTTGATTACCTGGATCAGCACGCGCTAGCATTCACAACACTAGCATTTGCAAAACACACCAAAGTACTCCTCACGCTTCGGTTTCATGTATGTTGCACGCACGTGAAGACGTATGCCTGCTGCAGTCACGTCATCTGTAGCAGTATTATACCCAATTGGCCCGAGCCAGGCCACGGGAAAGACACATAGTCTCATCATGCTACAGCCCCTTTAAGCACTTGAAATGCACAGGTCATGGGTTTGATCCCCAACCTGGCTCTAATGTCCTTTGGCAAGGCATTAATCTACATTTGATACTCTGTACCCAAGAGAGAAATGGGGACCTGGTTGGATGACAAAAGCCTTTGTGTTAGTAATTGCCATATACTGTTCCTTTACCATATGGTAATATACATCATATTACTCTAATGCTTAATGTCATACATTGTATCTGTCATATATGTTCCAGCTTTGTTTGTTTGTTTTACCTGACTGCTAAGAAAGTATGTGTATGCTTGTAAGTAAACAACCAGGGGACCAACTGCGTCAAGTTCTCTCAGAGGGACTTGGTAATAAGCAGGCCTGATAAAAACCCGATTTAAATCGGTTTCCCGATTTTTTTGATTTTTTCCGATTTTTTCCCGATTTTCTTTTTCTTCCCGATTTAAATTTTTTTTTTTTTTTTTTTTTTTTTTTTTTACCAGATCTTTTTTCCATTCCCTATTTTATCCTTATTTTCTCTATTCTTCCCTATTTTGCCCTATTTTTTTCCCAATTTTCTTACTCGAAAGGGGGGAATGTTGTTAGATGCCATTTTTTTCCCTGCGAATCCTCTTCTTTTTGTTTAATCAAGGGGGGCGTGGTTGAGAGGAAAACAAAAAACCTATTTTTTTTTTAGTACTCACTATCACCCCTGAATAAGGAGTAATGCCTTTATTCCAAATAGCACAGATGCATTAGTTTCGAACCTAGGTAGGACCTCCTAGTTACAAGACCACTGATCCTTCACTTGTATGCTATAGATTTATTCATCACTATTTTGATCTTTACAGGTACCATAGCTTACAACCAGCGGAATCGCATAGACACGCTGATGTACCTACTGGCCTACCCCATGGCACCGCTTGTCAAATCCAAGGTAAGGGTATGAATCATTTTGAATGCGTTGAGAACGGAAGAAAGTTTCATACAGTGAAGACTTGGGATATTCTAGCCAACTTTAGTGCTATCAGCTTATGTCTTAATTTAAAAACAGATCCAGGATGTACATTTTGTATCATTAAAAAAGGTGTTAAACCCAATTACACTCTTTTCTCTTGCTCTATTCTTTACAGGTAGTATGTATGAAATTGATTTGCTGGTATAACTTGTTTGAAGAATTGAAGCTACACTAAGAAAAGGAAAGATTGGAACCCCACAAAAATACATATTTCATTTTAAATGCTAATGTATATCTCTTTCTGTTTTCCATTCTTCCCCCTCTCCCCCCTCCATACTTCACTCCCTCACCCTCCCTCTCTGCTTCCTTCCCTCCCTCACCTCTCTCCTTCCCCTTCCTTCCCCCTCCCTTCCCTCCGTCTCCATTCCCTCCCCTCGCCCTTTCCTCCCCTCCCTCTCCCTTCCCTTCCCTTGCCCTCCCTCTATCCTTCCTTCGCTCCCTCACCCTCTCTCCTCTTCCCTCCCTCTCCTTCTCTTCCCTATCCATTCCCTTCCCTCTCTCTCCCTTCTAACTCGTCTATGCAGACGATAGATCTGATAGGGTTTGATAAGCTTCCAGCAGGTCAGAACGCTGTGGTAGCTGTCATGAGTTACAGTGGGTATGACATAGAGGATGCACTCATTCTCAACAAGGCTTCTGTCGACAGAGGTAACAAACAAAACCAGATGATGGTGATGGTGGTGATGATGGTGATGGTTATGGTGGTGGTGACGCTGGTTCTGATGGGGGTGGTGTTGATGATGATGTTGCTGATGATGATGATGATGATGATGATGATGATGATGATGATGATGATGATGATGATGACGACGACGACGACGACGACGATGATGATTATAATGGTGATGATGATGATGATGATGATGACGATGATGATGATGACGATGATGATGATTATAATGGTGATGATGATGATGATGGAGATAATGTAATGATGATGGTGATTTTATTGGTTGTGGTATTGTTGGTGGTGATGAGGATGATGGTGGTGGAATGATAGTGAAGATAATGATCATGATGATGGTATTGGTGGTGGTGATGAGGGTATTAGTGGTGGTGAAGATGATACTATTCAATATTACTCTCATTTACTCTTAATTACCTTAAATCTTATCCCTCTAAACATTACCTTAAATCTTATCCCTCTAAACAATACCCCAAGAAATACATTTCCATGCCTTTTGCATCTGTTTCGTATCTCCCAACAAATTATTTGTTGCAGGTTTTGGTAGATGTCTGGTGTACCGTAACACCAAGTGCACGTTGAAGCGGTATGCTAATCAGTCATTCGATCGTCTGATGGGACCTAAGCTCGATCCGTTGTCACGGCAACCCATTTGGAGGCACCGCATCCTTGATGCAGATGGAGTTTGTGCTCCAGGTAGAACAGATGTTGTTTTGTTTTGTTGTTGTTGTTTTTTAAAAGGTCAAAAGGAGGTTTCCTTCTTGATTGTTCACCTTTGCTTTCTCCCTCTTCAGTCCTTATTTGCTGCAGACCGAAAACCTTAACTGCCACATTGTTGTGAGTGTCTGTCACAAAATTGAGTAGCTTGAGTAGAAAATGCAGCACTCTAATTTTTCATACTTATTGTAAGTAATCTTCAGGCTCACAACTATCAATGAGTAACTGGAATTTCTTTCTAGGAACAAGTGATTTAAAGCTTTTAATTAAATGTATGATATTAATTCCAGTGGAACCTGTTTAAGTATCAATGGCGATGTTCTAGGGGGGGGGGGGGGGGGAAATATGCATCAAGTGGTCTTTGAATTTGTTTCTCCGTGTAGGAGAGAGAGTGATCAACAAACAGGTCTTGCTCAATAAGTCCATGCCAGTGGTCAACATGAATCCTCTTCAAGCCAGCCCAACCAACCAGCCTCAACAACACGACTACAGAGAGGTGCCAATCACGTAAGTCCAGGATCTCATTGATTGGCCTTTGTTTGATAACGGTGTTAATCGTTGTGGTTAAAGGGATCGTTTAACAATGTTAAATCTGAGATTCACAGCCCTACATGCCCTACAAAGCCTTTTTTCAATGACAAATGACAAAAATCAGTGACAAATCTGTTGATAACCAATCAGAAGCAAGGATTTCAGTAGCTTATAAACAAAAAATGTCATTTGTCACTGACGACAAGTTTTGTGAAAAGCCCCCCCCCCCCCCCAGATCTTCTGATAAATTTTCTTCTCATCCTGTAGGTACAAGGGAACTGCCGACTCCTACATTGAGAAGGTCTTGGTCACATCTAACCCAGAAGAAGCATTTCTCTTCAAGGTTCTCCTGAGGCAGACGAGGAGACCGGAGATTGGAGACAAGTTCAGCAGCAGGCATGGACAGAAGGGGTAAGATGGGGGATGGGGGTGGTGGTGGTGTTGGTGGTGGTGGTGGTGGTGGTGGTGGTGGTGGTGATTAGGATGGTGCTTGTGATGATGATGATGAGGAAGAACAAGAGCAGGACGAAGGGGTGGATGGTGATGATGATCATGATGTTTGTAATGTTGATGATCATTAATACGATGACAATGATGAATTCAATGTCAAACTATAATTATGGTGCCAGTCGTAATTATAACGAGGAATTATACATTCATCACACTACTTCTTTCATTTTCTCTCTCCAGAGTGTGTGGTCTTATCGTTCAACAAGAAGACATGCCATTTGATGAGAGGGGGATCTGTCCAGATATCGTAAGTTTCATTATGAAATCATCCATACCTCTGCCAATTATCACTCTTTTCAAGCTAGTGTACAGCACATCAATTACACTCAAGTTTATTGAAGAGATATTTATTTACGATTGATAAAGCTCCTTCCCCATGATATGTCCTCTCATCACATTTTCTTTCTCGTCTTTCTCTCTCCTTTCTTTTTTCTGTCTTGTCTTACTGTTTATCTCTTTCCTTCTGGTAATTGCTTTCCAAAGAAGAAAGAGTCAATTGTGGAAGTTTATCCAGGGGGGTGTTTCACAAAGATCCTAAGTAGAACTTATCTCTAAGTTGGACTTAAAAATTATGGAAAGCCATTAGCATCTTTGAAAATATTTTGTGAAAGTTATTTTGAAAGGCATTAATTGTTTATTCAAATCATTCATATTTTCTATCATCAAGGAGATTTCATGTTCTGGATGTGGAATTTATAAAAAGTCTAAATTACTTGAATTTCTGCTTTTGAATATATTTCATTTTAAGACTCCAATGGCTGTCCATAATTTTTAAGTCCAACTTAGAGTTAAGTTCTACTTAGGATCTTTGTGAAACACCCCCCAGGTCTTTATATTTCACATCGGATATTCATAACTAACAATTTGAATAGAAATCTTATTCCAATAGGAAATAGCGATGAATGAAGAAGCAGAAGAAAAAGAAGGAGAAGGAGAAAAAAGAGGAGGATGAGAAGGACAAGGACAAGAAAGAAGGAGAAGAAAAAGAAGAAGACTATTTAATATCTAAGCGTTTTGCATTGTAACTTTCACTACCACAGTCAATGGATAAAACAATCATTTGAATATTGTTTGCTGTGAAGAAAGTATAGTATGGAAATATTTTTGTCACTTCTCTGTCCCTCAGATCATGAACCCTCATGGCTTCCCCTCCCGTATGACAGTGGGCAAGCTCATTGAGTTCCTCGCAGGCAAGGCTGGTGTACTGGAAGGAAAGTTCCATTACGGCACAGGTAAGCAAACAATTAACCTTTTGAAAGGTTTATTTATGTAATCTGTAGTAAACCGCTATGGATTACAGCGGGAGGAAGAATAAAGGAAAATATTATTGTTGCCAATTCAAAGAATAATATGCGATCAATTAAGCCCTGAAAAAAAATCCTGTTCTGAAAGGGTTAAGAAAGAAAAAACCTTTGGACATGTATGTCTTTTAAATCACATCCATATGCCCATAACTTACACAGTACACACAGGACAAGCTGCTTCTAAAGCTATCTCACACATAAACAGTAACTCTCGGAGATTGTACTTTCATTGCACCGTTCTAAAGCTTTGAAATAAACTACCACTAGACATTAGAAAAGCATCATCTGTTGCTATCTTCAAAGCTTTTTTGAAGAGACACACTTGTTTTTAGGAGCTTTTGAATATCTGTTGTTGTGTGTCTGTATTTAAAAGTAGCACTGTCAGGAGAGTTTTGTTTTTATCATAATGCAGTAGAGTATATATATATATATATATATATATATATAGTAGCTGCCCTATATAAATTGATCTGATTGATATTATTATTAAATGTACGTCTTCTTTCTTCCAATGCAGCTTTTGGAGGAGACAAGGTTGTCGACATCTGTGAGGATCTGAGGAAGCATGGTTTCAACTACCTGGGCAAAGACTTCCTAACATCTGGTATTACAGGGTAAGGGAACGCATTCAGACTCTCAGCAGATTCCATTTGCATTGCATCGACTGACAATATTTTATTGCTGAAATTATGAACATATTCGAAGAAAAAGAGTTTCATTTGTTTTGGTGCGAAATTTTGGAACTCAATCTCGCCAGAAGTCAAAGGTGAATCATCATATGTGATTTTCCAACGTCACATAAATAAGTACATGGAGTGAAGGTACATTCATTGAGTGCAGTTTATTTAGATATTGTTTTCCTTATGAGTTACATGTATGATCTTGTTAATATTTTCTTCGTTAATATTATTTTGTATGTATGTTATCTTAATGCTGTATGTTTAAAAAAAAAATGAATTCATGACCCTAAGGAAGAACATTCATCGGGCTGAGGTAGGACCCCTGGGGGATGTTTCACAAAGATTAAGGTCGACTTTAAGTTGGACTTAACTATGGCAGGCTGTTCATGCCACTGTTTGCTCTCACCATTTACTGGCATTGGTCTCTCAAGGGACGTACAAATCATGGTCACAAATCTACAGGATTTACATTTGTTGATAGTTCATTATTGAAGGAAAATATATTATCTAAAGATCATAATTAAATTGAGAGACCAATGGTATGAGCAACTAGTGGCATGAATGGCCTGCCATAGTCCAACTTAAAGTCGATCGTAGTCTTTGTAAAACGCTCCCCTAGTCTTAATTACCGTCAATACTACTGGGCCATAAGGGATTAGACCACACAGCGAGGTCACTGACAGGTGGCTGTTTTATTAACTCAGCTCTCAACTAACATAAGAAAAAGAGGATCATGGGGGACCACCAGGCACCGATTGGGGAAGTTTTCTATATAAAGGGAGCAAGTACAATGTAGCTACAAGTAGGACAGTGGGGCTTTAAATAAAATTAAAACAATTAAATGAAACTTTGCTTGCATACACCTACAGAGAGCCTCTGACAGCGTACATCTACTTCGGGCCTGTCTACTACCAGAAGTTGAAGCACATGGTCTTGGATAAGATGCACGCCAGAGCCAAAGGACCAAGAGCTGTCCTCACCAGACAACCTACAGAAGGAAGAGCTAGGTAAGGGAGATACAGTGAAACCTGTATATAAAGACCACCCAAGAGAGTACAAGAACAGTGGTCTTAATTGGCAGATGTTCTTGATGTACAGGTTCCTTTAGTACGTGTTTCAATGAGAAACCACTTTCAAGGGAAACAGAAAATGTGGTCTTTGTAGACGTAGACAGATGTTATTATATATACAGGTGGATGCTAAAGCAGGTTTGACTGTATTTTCATGTTTATTTCTCTTTTAGTCTTTGGTCATTTTGTTTCATAAGATTGTGTATTCCTGATCGTTCGTTTCAAGGGGCTTACCCTTAACATGCAACATCCAAGGGCTGATAGTGTAGTAAATTTTAAAGGCAGTAAGTCCCTTTTGCAGACTGTTGCAAACTTCATGAAACTTGGCAAGTGTTTAAAATATATCATTCAGATATCATGTGTGAAATTTTACAGTCATGGACTCTAAAATTTCTTTGTAAGAAATGAAAATTTAGCTTATTCTTTGCTTTCACAACTAATAATCTTCACACATTCATTATCTGTGTCACATGACAGAGATGGAGGCTTGCGATTGGGCGAGATGGAACGCGACTGTCTGATTGGCTACGGAGCCAGCATGCTGCTCCTTGAGCGTCTTATGATCTCCAGCGACCAGTTCCAGGTGGATGTGTGCGGAGACTGCGGGCTTATCGGTCATTCGGGATGGTGAGTTTAAAGCTAGGTCCAGAACGGAGGCTCCCTAATGAATGGAACGCCAAAGATCGGGCAAAAAAGTAGCTTAGCATGTAGGGGCCATCACTGATACAAAAGTAATAATGACAATAGGTTGTGTGACACATTCTGTACTGAGTCATTATCTTCACCCCTTCTCCATGCAGGCACCATATCTTATCCTGAACCTACCCCAAAGTTCAACTTAGAGTTAAGTTCAACTTAGGATCATTGTGGAACACCCCAGGTCTTCTAGTTATTCCACCTTGAAAGAGAGTGGCAAATGTTGCATAATGTCTTGCCAAAGGTTGTTAAAGGGATTGGGTATCTTTGTCTCAAATTCTAAACAAAATCCTGGATTTACCTCATGCTGCAAGCATAATTATAAACCTCTAGGTCAGTCAGGAATCCCATGCTTGTCTGATTATCAAGATATTTATGCTTGGAATTCGAAATTTCAAAAACCGTTTTCCCAAAAGTTTTTATACCACTACAGTCCATTAGTTAAAATGCGTATGGTAAAACCGGTCACTCAAAGATTTTTTACTTTTTTGAGGCACTTCATGATCATTTTAACCCTATTTAGCGCGGGCTATTTTGAAGCTGCATAGCCCCGGGGGGGGGGGGGGGGGGGGGGGTTTCTAAGGCCCCCCCCCCCCACATGATCTTGGCCGTGAAACGCCCGATCGCCGCAAAAATTTGCCTACATGTCAAGTGAAGTGTATAGAATACTATGGTAATTTCAATTTTTTGAAAAATTCATTCATTTGCATATTTATGGTAATTTATGCAAATAAGGTCATAAAATTCACATTTTTGCCCATAAATCAGACATTATTCATATTTAAGCATTCTTTCTCACTACAGTCTACGGGCTAAATAGGGTAAATAGGGTTAAAGCACAATTTTTTTAGGGATTTAAATATATAACACCATATCACAGACTGATAACATGTAGGGCCAAGCTTCTCAGATTTGTAAAACTGGAAACATTGATGCCGTTAATGCTTTGTTATGAAAATTCATGTTATGAGTATAGAAATTTAAGAATTCAAATGATAACAGCTTTTTAAACATTGTCTCATTTTGCTCAGGTGCCCATATTGCCATTGCTCTCAGAACATCTCCTCGTTGAGGATACCATATGCATGCAAGCTGCTCTTCCAAGAACTCCAGTCGATGAACATCATACCAAGATTAAGGCTCAAGAAATACACAGAGTGATACCAAACTGCTCTGTCAAGAACTTCAGTCTCTGAACATTGTACCATGATAAAGTTGAAGAAGTACACAGAGTGAGATGCAGAGAGATATCGGAATGGGAGGACATTGTAGATGAAATGTGGTCCATGAACAATTTGAAAAACTATGGAGGAGAAATAATATGACTGAAACCTCAACAAATATTTGGAATACGAGAAAGTAATGTACAAGTATACAAGATGCTATTGCAGTTGGTGATCTCAGTTTGATTGAAGTTGAAGAAATACATAGAATGATTGGAGGACATTTTAGAGGAGAGCAGTTCGTGACGGTTGTGCCAGCACTATGGAGGTGTGAAGTCCGATAAAAATTACTCTAACATCAGCAAGTACTTGGCTATAAAAATAACATGAAAAGAGACATTTCAGATATATACTTAGCTATTTCTCTGTTAATTCAGTCTATGAACATTGTACCAAGGCCTGAACTCACAGTGAGATGCACAGAGATTGTAATGTGACTGGAGAATTTTGAAGATCTAGGCATTGCATGAACACCATCCAGAGACAACGGAGGGTTAGAAGACTATGTGAAAGACTATACCATAACAAGGAGGCGCAATAGCTCAGTGAGGACCGGGACCGGGACCGGGAGGTCCTGGGTTCGAAACCAAGTCAATGTGCTAGTGCCCTTTGACGAGGCATTAATGCTCATTACCAAGTAACAAAGACAGATAATGGAGACGGTGCAGTGCTTTTAGTCCAAGATTTAATTATCATTCCTGACCATTTTCTTCATTGACAAATCAAAAGTGATGCCAATTTGAAAAATGGTCAGTAAGGGCTCAGGTTCAGAAAGGACTCAGCAAAACCATGCTGCTTTTTTTTTGATGACCTAAAGTGTAATGTGCTTTCACATTTCTGTATCTTTTAACACAGAGCTCAGTGAATATGCCCAGGACCTTTGTTGCCTGACATTTTTTTTTTTTTTTGCGGGTTACCTATATCTGCATGAGCCTTAAATGTTTGATTTCTTGAAAGTGGAATATTGCTACTTTTTAAAGTGCTGCCCTTTTTTATAATTTTAAGATTATGGAAGGCCTTGTGAAGGAATAAGAAAACAAAGACAAGCTAATAACTCAGAAGTTATACAGCAAAGCAGTTGTATTACACTTTGACATTGTTTTTCATGATTAAGATTGTGAAATTGATTTGATTTACAATAAAGATATATTTATATCAAACACAAAGTTTGTTATCTATGTTTTCTGTCTCTCTCTCATTCAATAAGGTGGCCCCAAAAGATCAAGACAATGGAGATTATACAACATGGACATAATGTCATTGTTTTGGTTTTATTGGGTAGAAAATTCTGAGTAAAATGACACCAAGAACATTAATATTTGATATATTGTTCTGATTCTAGGGTTATTTTTCTGAGGCAATGTTGTTTTAAAATTTCTCATTTCGCAACGGTAGTCAGGCTTGAACTAGCAAGAGATTTGTGTGTGATAGTTTAAAGTTTTCCATATAATAGTGTTGTAAAAAATGAATAACTTCTATTATTTTGAAAACAAAATATGATTAAAACTAGGATGTTCATTATGCAACAGTGATTCTATGGGAAACCGTCAGGTGGAAATTTCTTGCTGCATCTAGCAAAAGTACTGAATTGTGAAAAAAATGACATAGCCTCACCGGAATGGTCCTAACTAAAATTTGCTGATCTTGGTGACATTTTACTAGGAGGAAAAGATTTTGTTTTTAAACGTTTATTATCACTCTCCATTTCTCTTTTCTCCACCTCCCCTCCCTTCCTCCCTTTCCTGTATCAATATCTCTTTCTCTCCCTCTTGATTTTTTTATGTCACATCTCTTATCAATATTACTCTCTCTACAGAATCTCTCCCTACATTCTATCCCACCTCTCTCTCATTCTCTCTCTCTCTCCCGCCTCTTTCTCTCACTCCTCTCTCTCATCTCGTTCTTTCTCTCTTCTCTCTTTCTTTCTCTCATGCTTCTTTCTCTTTCTCTCACTCTTCACTCTTTTGCTTTGCTCTCTCTCTCTCTCACTCTTTCTCTCATTCGCTTTGCTCTCTCTTTCTCACTTGTATCTCTATCTCTTTCTTTCTCACTGGTCTCTCTCATTCTCTCCCCCCCCCCCCCCACCTCTCTCTCTCTCTTTTTCTCTGTACTCTCTCACACACTATCTCCACAATCTCTATTCAAATTACCTGCATTTAATAATCTCTTAGAAACAATATTGGTTTTGTCTGAAATGAGAGGATGATGCACAGGGTATTTTCATTAAAAAAACAATAAATTATCCAGGGGTTGGTGTTAGGAAAAAAAAATGAAATTAATTGTCATAAACAGCAACTGCAGAGACGTACATGTATACTGACCATTGGTTCTTGCACAGACGTCTCTTTTAACGTGAACGAAGCCAGATTTGGGCAGACATTAACCAGAGAATTATCATCCTAATTTTGATTTGGTTTGACAATTTGCATCATTTTAAAAACAAAAAAGATAATATTGTTTTCAGAATAGCACCTGGGAAAACTATTTTAACGTCCATATCAAATCTCTTTCATATTTCACTTCTATTTTAAAACATTTGAACAAATTTCAAAAGCAGACAACGGTATGGTATTTTTTGCAGTTTATCTCGTCAAAGATCTTCACAAATTTTATTTACAATAATGTACAATATTTACAGACGGAACAAATATTTCTACAAAAACACATTAACCTGTATGCAGATCAACTGAATTTTTTAAGCCTTCACTTGGCATGGCTAAACTTGAAATAAGATAAATCGTCTAAAAATATTTGGCTTAGCATAAGCCTTGTCGCTACACTATATTTGAAATATAGGCTTCATAAATTACTTCTATAAAGAGAGCAAGTTTAAATATCCTCTCAATATAAGTGCAACTCATGTATTGTATGCAGTCGCATGTAACCCGGGTTCCAATTGGGTCCCATGCGCTGGGTTTATGATACTCTTTATTTTTGTCCATACTAAATTACTCATTATCTGTTAGCCAACAGGATGCTAGATAAAGTTTCTTTTACTTTATATACTATTACCATGCACATAATTTTCTTTTTAATGGGGCTGTCACACAAAATTGACATGCTAATCGTCACATTCATCTTGTCAAAGGCACATCCAAATTTACAAAACAAGAGGGGGTAGGAGTTGGGGAGGGAGGCATGCCTAGGCTGAGCACGAATCCTGTATGATCCTCATTCTCCTTGGATTTGCATCTTCAAAAAAAAAAGTCTGAAACAATTACTCCTCATCAGTATGTTTCTCGACTCTGATGTTCAGATCTCTTATTTCCTGTGTCTCCCAAACAAAATCCATTCCACCATTATCACCAGCAGGTCGAGGGTCATTTAGTTGGACAGGATGTAGCGCTTTCAGTTCAATATCAATAAATATTCTGCATGTCTGAAGCACTACCCTTGTTCAACAGATGCCTGCAAAATGAAAATGAAAAAATGAAAATTAAAGAATAAAAAGGTACTGTAGAGCATACAAGACAACAGCATTAATAACAGTACATGTTTATATTTTCAAAATGAACAAATATTTATTCATTATTTTGGTAAAAAAAGTGTGAAATCAAATTTCACGTTTATTCAAATTTAGTTTTATTTTGAAAACAATCATGATGAAATTCACTACCATTTTGACACGTTATAAAAGTTCAAATCGGTACATTATTTTACCTAAATAAATAAATAATAGTTGTTTTTTTTTAAACTCTCACTCGGGCACAAACCAAATGATAAACAAAGATTTGTTAATTTTGAAAAGATATAATATTTGCATTTTAATGCTATGACTTGTGTTAATTTCACTTGATCAGTGACCATTGAGACATATTAATTTTTAAGATCATCAAAGTTAACAAACAAACAAAACATTTTTTTCCCTTCTTTTTCTAAAGAAAAGGAAACAAGAATAAGAAACTGTTATTTCAGTTGTTCTATGTTGCAAATAAACAAGAAGTCCAATAAATTAAAAAACAAATGGCGGTTTGTGGTCACCCATGAGACGGTTTACCTTATACACCCCAGGAAACAAGATTTGTTTGTTTTCAGTTGGAGATACTCCTTAAAGATAAACTTTAGTACTGGTAATGCGATTGCATTGTGAAAGAAAAGGTGTGGAAAGGATCAGAAACAGTTGATCATGTAGCATGTAAGTATTGGTGTGCACTGCAAGGTTCTGGAGTCATCAAAATCATAATAAATTTGACCGAGTCTTGGTAAAGTAACAAACACTCACATAGAAAGCTATATATAAGAAAACACACATGGTGTCGGGGCTAGTACTACCTTGATTTCCTTGTCTTTCTATACTCATTACTCAGCCAGTATACATTTTCTTCCAAAATTGTTTGGCACATGTCATTTATTTGTAATCTTGAACATTCAGTGTAAGTTTCGTTTGATTCTGTGAGAATTATTTTTTTTTTTTTACCAGTACTGGAGTTTATCTTTAAGATAAAACAAGAAATTCGCATAAATGCAAAAAAAAAAGAAGGTGTTTTTCACTCATGATATTTACCTTGTACGCCCCCATCTCTCTTCGTAGTTCCTTGACGACCGATGCGAGAGCCTCAGGGTTGACGCCGAGCTCACACAGGTGCACACAGATCGTCAAGGTCTCGGAGTCAAGCCCCGTCTCCAGCAGCTCAGATATCTGATTCACAGCTACAAATTGTCAAAGAAATTAGAGTGTAGTAATTGTTAATAATTGTTATACTAACTACAATACATTATTGGCATGAGTCTATTCATCTAGGTAGCGTTTCATAAAACTGTCATAAGTACATGTAGGTAAGTTCACCGACTTCCCATTGAAACGTGTGTTAAACTTAGTCTACTTAAGATGTCAGTGAACTAGTAGTATTTATGACGGTTTCATGAGACGCTGCCCGGATTTCATCTCATGGAGAAACCCCCTCCCCCCAAAACAGAAGAAAAAACAAACAAACAACAACAAAAAACAAACAAGCAAGTTAAGGTTGTAAATTAATTAATTGTCATTAGTCTATCATGTCTAGCACTTGAGTCTTGCCTCTAGGATCAATCAAGGCCCAGACCCAAGCTAAGCCCCCTACCAAGACAAGACACTAAGTTCATGAATGATGGATTGATGATGATTTTTCTGTGCATTGCATCGTTTTCTCATTCATTCTCATTTCTGGCCAAGCAATGATGATCTGGGGCTGCGGCCGGAAAAAAAAAAATCACAATCTCTGAAAACAGAATTAGCCTAGATCTAATCTTTTTTAGCAAATTCTGCCCATTCATTCAGGTAATTATTACACATTTTAAATTTAACGTCTATTTGGGGGATTAGAACCTATTTCCTAGTCAAAATTCAAAATCAAACCAGCACTGGTAAACATTCACAAGATCTAGATCTAACTCAAGACGACGCCGCTAGACCCGGCCGAAAAATGGTCAGCAGAAGGGTCCTGAATCACAGCAATTCGTCACAAAATTGCTTTAAAATTTCACACGATTCTACATTCTAAATTGAACGATACTCACTATCTAGCGCTTCTCTAGCAGATGCTACAGGTGTTGATCCAATTTTCTCTTCCATTGCCCTACGTGGAGATTTTAAAATGTCAAATTTCGCCGAGGATTTTGAGCTTCGTTCCTTTAGATTGGATATGTGATTGCTGCCCTCTTTAGAGTAAGAATTGTAGATGTTTCAATTCAGCGCCGCTTTCAAAATAACTGTATCGAAAAGGGACAACGGATGGTAAATAACCTATTTTCTTTTGTTGACATGACTTAAATTATAATTTTGTGAGGTTGTTATGAATTCTGTGAGTGTGCTTTATACATCGGATCACATCAAAAAAGAAAATTCAATCAATTGGGCTTGGGGTGTATTTGGAATTGGGAGTTGATCGTTGTGTTGATAAGGTGACAAAAACTGACCGACGAAACTGCTGTGTTGCAATCAGCACTGCCGCGCCGCTGCTACAGGCGTGTATTCTCATGACTAGGGGTCTAGGCCTATCTACTAATCTAGTGCATAGTGACTCACGGTTTTGCAAATTAGTTATCCAAAAGCCTAGGATCTAGGCTTATATATCCCAGGGTGATAATGTGAAATATGAATTAGGTCTATCACATAGACTTTTCCTATCCTTGATTGGCACCCCTGCAAGTTGCATGCACATTCATTCATCATTGTAAACAAAATCATGAAATGTCAAAACCACTGTCCATGGGCATGGCCAGTTGGCTTCGTTGTTGGCTAGTGCTGCTCGTAAACAGTCCAGGCAGTGAACTATGTGTATGAATGATCTAGATCTATAATCATTAGGGGGCTGGTCCAAGAATGAGGATCGTCCTCATAAACAAGGATATCCTCATAAACCAGGACAAAATGCGTCCTCAAAAATAGTCCAAGGGTCGTCTGCATTTTCGAGGACGTTTTTTTTCATCGGCGCTCTGGGGGTTTCATGTTTCAGAACGGCCCGCTGGCGATGCCAAAAATGGATTCCCTGGGGGAAAATAACCCTAGTTCACCGTCTACTTTTATGGATTTTCCGTTTTCCCAAGGATTTATTGCTTATAATGTGAAAGTCTCTGTACAATGTCAATGTAAAATACATCAAGAAAATCATTGCAGAATCCGTTTTTTGCATCGCCAATGCGCCGATCAAAAATATAAAACGTCTGCAAAAATGCAGACGGTCCTTATTTTTGAGGACGCATCGGTCAGTGTTTAGGAAGACGATCCTCGTTTATGAAGACAATCCTTATTCTCGGACCAGCGCCCCTACTGATAATGTAGATTAGTCTAAATCTAGCTCTGACACCATCTGGCATCTGCCATGCCACCAAATTTACTGGAAGAATGCCAAGACGACAGCAGTCGAGCTTCCTTTTCTCCAGGTCTATCTTCTTGGACCATCTCCTTGCTTGTTGTAGCCATTCTCTTAGTCTCAGTCTAACCATATTATAGATTTACTCATTTTTATCTTGTGAGTAATTAAACGAGCACCATTTCTGTCCTTTCCTCTTTTCAGGTTGAAGTCTTGTCTCCGATTCGTTCCTGAACTTTTCATTGATCCGTCATCGCCATGGCGGAAGAGGAGGAGGGGCTTCTGTCGATGACATCATCAGCGAACCTGACTGTGAATCCATTCGACACTGTGAGCCTGGACAGCATGCATCTCCCTGCGTTCAGCCCATCGGTATTCAAGCCCAGTCAGGACACACCCTGCAGCAAGAAGGTGATTTTATGTAGAAACTACAGGATGTGTTCAGATGCATCAATCCTTAATGGGCTTAACTGTAGAATACCCCACCAATAGGGTTAGGATTAGGTTTAGTGTTACTTAAAAAGCTTAAGTCCTGAGATTTAGCTTCATTGGTGAAGTTTTTGGTAGTACTACCCTACGAACGTTTTGTCAAGTTTCGTGGTGGGGTATTGTTCCGAATAAGGTGGGCCACCAAAGTTTAAACATGATTTACATATTTATAACAAGAAGCGCAGTTGTCCGATCCATTCTAACACGATTAGAATTACGACCTCAAAAATTTAAACGGGCCTGATGTGCCCACTGCACAGACATGTGGAGGTGACATGGTATAGTGGTTCATTCATTTGATTCTCAATTCAAGGGTTGGGGGTTTAAATCCCAGCCTGGCACTAACATCCATTGGCAAGACAATAATTGACCTTTGTCAATCTCCACCCAGGTGTAAATGGGTACTTAACCGGATATGCCAGAGGGCTTACATATTTGGCCGCCAACTATGACCAGGGTAATAATGTAGGAGCATCACGACATGTCGAACATGTGCACTATGCAAGAAGCCACCACTGTCAACATTAGTATTAGGTCTCCACTAACGATTTGAAAAAATGTTACTTTCATCCTTGTCAAAACAATTTTTAAAAAGATATTCAACTGTCATGAATGTTGCTGAAAGGGCTCAGAATTTTTCTTTCCCTTTCTTTTTCCCGATCAAAATTTGTACAAGAACAAATTTCGCAAGAAATTTTCTTGATTTATAAATAGAAAGTGGAAAAAAGAATCCTGAGAATGACACACATTATTTTGAAATCTGGACCAGACCGGATACACTAACAAAAACCATTATGGATTCTGAAGTACAATTGTTGTCTTCATTCAATACAAGTATTTAACTTGGTATTCTATGTCTTGTTTTCCCACTGTATTGAAAACAGAAGAGTGGATTCCGCTGGTCCATCGATCAGATGTCCCTGCTCTACCCGGCTGATATTGACGAGTTACCACGACAACAGGACGCATCCTTCATCCCAAAAGAGAAAGAGGAGCAAGTACAGGAGGCTATAAATCAGGTTAGTCAAACGCATCTCATAGTTCCCAACAATTTTCGTATTTAATATTTTGGATGAATGATTCCTAGTTTTTGGCCTTAAAGCTGTTGTTTTGAAACCTAGATTCTTTTGCTGGCCATAAATCAGTTTAGTCAGTTCAAGCATCTCATAGCTCCCGACAATTTCTATTTTGGAGGAATGATTCCTATTTTTTGGCCTTCAAGCTATTGCTTCGAACCCTAGATTCCTATCTTTTTCTGAAATATTATATGTGAAAGAGTAAAGAAAATAGATTGTATTCCTAATTTTCCCTGGAGTGATTGCTAATTTATGCTGTGAAAGGTTGACGTGTATGGTATCTCTAGGCCTTATCCAATTTTTGCAATTAGTGAATGAATTATTTTACCCATGAAGTGGAGTAAACTTACTTTAGGGAAGTAGGGGGGGGGGGGGGGGACAACAATCAATTGTCATCTATTCTTATTTTGGAGGAATGATTCCTGTTTTGCTACCTTCAAACTATTGTTGTGAACTGCTACATATATCTTTAAAATTCATAAATTTCATGTTTTGTTTAAACGTTTACCAATCTGTGTCTCTTATTCTTTCTGCTTTCCTTCTAATTAATTTGCTATATACGGTATGTTTGATTATCCTTACCTCAAATATTTCTGTCTGACATACAATCGTGCTACTCTGACTTCAAAGAGAGCTATTATGAAGTGAAACGTTCATTATTCACTTCTTTTTCTCCCATTTTACAGTTTTTCTCTCAGAAAGTAGTAGTCCCATCACCATGGTCTCAGTCTAAACCCATGAAGCAAGTCACGTTCTCACCTAAACCTCCATCAGTCAGCAGTAAGTATGAGGGATTCAACGTTTCATATCACATTTTCTGTGTGCATTAAGTATTTGAAGCTGTACAGATTGTGTAGGTCGCTTTTGTTTCAGTCTAAACCTATGAAGCAAGTCACGTTCTCACCTAAACCTCCATCAGTTAGCAGTAAGTATGAGGGAAACAATGTTTCAAATCACGTTTTATGTGTGTGTTAAACAAAAGCTGGTCAGATTGTGTAGAGCCAACTTCTTAAATCATGTTTCATTTGTGTGTGAAGTACCTGAAGCTGTTCAGATTGCTTAGGTCTCTTTGGTCTGAGTCTAAACCATCAAGTACATGTAAGTCACGCTCCCACCCAAACATCCATCAGTTATTGTAATACAGGCCTGATAAAAACCTGATTTAAAATTGTTTCCCGATTATTATTTATTTTTTTTCTTCCCGATTTAAAAAAAAAAAAAAAAAAAAAAAAAAATCATTTTTTTTTTTCCCCCTAAAATTTATCCTGATTTTCCCGATTTCCCCTTTATTTTCTCTAGTCTTCCCTTTTTTGCCCTATTTTTTTCCCCAATTATCCCAATTTTTTCCCCATTTTCTTAGTCGAAAGGGGGGGAATGTTGTTAGATGCCATTTTTTCCCGCGAATCCTCTTTTTTTATTTTTACTCAAGGGGGGGCGTGGTTGAGGGGAAAACAAAAAACCTATTTTTTCTTTAGTGCTCACTATCACCCCTGTGTAATAGCAGTGTGTATGAGTACGTATGAGCATTAAAAGAATCTTCATCTTTTCACTTCCCTGTCTTTTTCCAATTCCATGTTAATTCTTAGGGGGCAATATTATTCCTATTTTGTAAATTACTATTTGTCCAAATGTACATGTATTGTTACTTGATGTACATATTTTGATCTTTTGTAAATTCAATTTGTTTCATCCTGGCTGCTAATTTAAATGTACAATATAACAATTCAATTCATATCTTTTCCCTTTCTTCAACAATGCTTTCAGTTCTGAGTGAACACTCCGCTGAGAATTCCATCTGTTCGTCAACGAATGGATCCTTCCTTGGAAGTGTATCGGGAAAATGCGATGGTAAGAAACCTATAGTAAATGTTGCATTGTAATGACATTAAAGCCCCATTGCACTACTTGTAGCTACTTGCCCCCTCTTTATAGCAAGCAGTGCCTAATTGGTGCCTGTTGGTCCCCCATGGTCCTCTTTTTCTTATGTTAATTGAGAGCTGATTTGATGAGATAACCACCTGTCAGTGACCATGCAGGGAGTTCTAATCCCTCCTGGCCACACTAGTGCAAATGGTCTTTTAGATATTGGTATACTGCAAAGTTAGGCTATAGTTTCTAAATGCTGTAGATACATGAATTACCTTGCTTACTTAATTCATGTCTGCACATATCCTACACTTATCAATTTCTTTGTACTTTGTAGTATAATTTATCTTTGGGTAATTAAAGAGCATACTAGGGGAAGACATTCAGATTTTAGTCAAAGAACAGAACAAATATTTGGGTTGTGGTTGTGGTTATTTTAACAGACTGCTAAGAAGTAAGCAACCAGAAGACCAACGGCTTTAGGTCCTCTCAGAGAGACCTAGTAATGAGGACAGGGTTCGTACGGGTCATGGAAAACCTGGAAAGTCATGGAATTTTACTTTATTGCTTTTAAGGCCTTGAAAGTCATGGAAAATTATTTTTTCCATTGGAAAGTCATGGAAAGTCATGGAATATCAAAATTATGGACAACTATAGTATTTTCTCACTATACAAGTGAATAAATGGAGATATTTCAACCATTTTCTTCTCGTATTTTCTTTCATTCGTAACATACCGACTGATTGTACTTGTGAATGTGTTCACTATGATCGATGGATAAGCGCTGTGTACGTGGGTGTGTACGTGTACGATACGAACTACGTGTGTATGGTCAGTGTATGGCGGTACGGTCCACATCGTGCGCACATGGCTAGCTTGCGAGCGAGCTCGCTAGCGCTAGCTCAGTTCAGCAAGCTAGCGCACGTGTACGTGTGCAGTGTGTGTGTGCATATGATGATGGTGCCAACGCGACATGTGACACTCCAAGAACGAATGTAATGCCTCGATTGCACTTTGGCTTTGCATTAAATTGCGACCACTTAGACTACTACAATTTTTACACTTCTCCAATAAATGAGGAAAAAGTAAATTAGTAATATTTGTTTTTTAATTTTCATTATTTAAATAAAAAAGGAACAATACTGACGTGTCAACAAGGCAAATTGGCAGCGCTAGCTCGTTGACGATCTATATATCGACGCGACGGCATGTGTTTTGAAACTTTTGTGCATGTGTTGATTCTTCATGAAACGGAGTTGTTTATTTTCACAGACCTTGGAACTCGTCACGTGGATATTTTCACCATTACAAATTTTGTGGAAGTGATATTCAAAATGCCTGGAAATTGTCATTTTAAGGATGCTTGGTTAGAACACCCGGATTACCGTGGCTGGATTTTGAAAGAAAGTTCCGATCTGGGGACTGCTAGATGTGCTGTTTGTATGTGTAAATTCAGTGTCCGTAATATGGGCGAAGCAGCCGTCAAGAGCCACAAGAAGAGTGAAAAACACACAGCAAACCTCCAACAGCAACAACGTCGTAAGTGAGCATTTTTAATGTGAATTTTACCGATCCTTTATTGAGCATGAATCCAAATAATGACTGATAATAATTATATAAAAATGAAAGATTTGAGATTATTTAGCGATGCGATGTCACCTCGCAGGCATTGGTTACTGCTTACTGCGACCAGCCCGTTCGGGAGCGTCCCCGGCCCCGGGCCGGGCCGGCTAGGTTACTGCATGCAACAGCCCGAACGCTAACCCAGGGGGCTCCGCACTCACACGCCAGTGTTGTACCGGGCACTGTATGTGGACTGCAGAAGAAAAAAAATAATAATAATTTACCTTAAAATTGACCCCAAAAATCATAAAACTAAATTTTGTACTTACAATTGGGTCCAACAGTTTGCTTGCCTTGAGAAGTATTTCCTCCTTTCTATTTCTTTAAAATATGTTTTTAAGGAATGAGTCAAAAATTAGTCCACTTGTCTTAGTGACTTACATCAATTGGCCAAAAGTTGCCGTGAATTTTTTTTTTTTTCCTTCCCCATACTGTCAAACGGTTGTCAAAATAGGAAAACGTTTATGCTTTTAATGGTCGTTTGAACGGCAGTTAAACGTTTTGACTCGGCCCTAAATCTTACCAAATGATGATATTTATATTTTATTTATTTTAATAGACATTTTTTTCTTTTCTCCTAGATTCTACTCTCTCACTCAAGAGCTTCTTCAAGGCAAAAGGTGCAGAAAGTTCATCAGTATCTATCACGTCTACAGATGCAACAACCAGTACTTGTGCGCCATCAACCTCTAAAGTGACAACTCCCATTCCTGTTGCTGCAAGAGAGGAAACTTTAAAAGCTGAAATACTCTGGTGTCTGAAAGTGGTGGAGGATCATTTATCATTTCATTCTTGCCAGCACAACAGTGAGCTCTTTCAAAGAATGTTTCCGGACTCAGCTATTGCTAAGGGTTTCACGTTGTCAGAAACAAAATGTCGGTATATGACGGTGTTTGGTTTGGGCCCATATGTGCAAGACCTCCTTTATGACAACATAAAACAATCAAACCACTATGTGATACTGTTTGATGAAAGCCTCAACAAGAAGCTCCAGAAAAAGCAGATGGACTTCCTCATAAGAACATGGCAACACAATGAAGTTTGCACTCGCTACTTGACGTCTGTGTTCATCGGACATGGTTCAGCTGTTCACCTCAAGGAAGAACTGAATAAAGTTCTGCACACAGTTGGCTTGGAAAAATTACTGCAAATATCAATGGATGGTCCCAACGTTAATTGGAAGATGTATGATGACTTTACGCGAGAGTACACTGCTGACCTGACCAAATCCATACTGAATATAGGCTCATGCGGGCTCCATATAGTTAATGGTGCTTTTCTGACAGGTGCCAAGGCTGCTGACTGGGAGGTGGAAAGCTTTCTATCATCCTTGTATTACCTGTTTTCTGATTCCCCTGCCAGAAGAGAGGATTATCAGAAGATAACTGGAGATCATACCATGCCACTTAAGTTTTGCAAGACCCGATGGCTGGAAAACCTTCCTGTTGCAGAGAGAGCAATCAGCATCTGGGAGAGTGTATGTGCGTATGTTAAAGCAGTAGAAGAGAAGAAAATCCCTCACCCAAAGAACAAGTCCTTTGAAACTGTTTCAAAATGTACTCATATAACTGATTTCTTAGCAAGACTGTACTTCTTCATATCTGTTGCAAAGCTGGTCAATCCTTTCCTAACAGACTATCAGACTGATGCACCAATGCTGCCCTTTTTAGCTGAAGACCTTACTAGAATGCTTGCATCCCTTATGCAGCGATTTTTAAAGCTGGACAGGAGTACCATTACTTCTCCTTACAAGATAATGCAGGTAGATGTTAGCAGTGAGGCCATTCAGCTGCCCTTGGCCAAGTTGGACATTGGATTCTACACTGAGAAGAAGCTGAAAGATCTGAAGGCGAAAAATATCATCAGTGAGCTGAAAGTTCTGGAATTTCGCACTCAAGCAAAGAAGTTTCTTGCTGCAATGACCCGGAAGCTCATTGAGCGATGTCCGCTTAAGTATGCACTTGTGAGAAATATAGGATGCTTGAGTCCAAAGAACATGGCAAAAGACAAAGAAAACTCCACTGCAAAGCTGAAGAGGGTGCTTAACACCCTTAGTGATGCCCACAGACTTAAGGATTCATGTGACGATATCCTAAGAGAATACTCAGAAGCATGTGATGAGGCATCAAGAAGTGCAGAGATGAGAGACTTTGATCCAAAGAAAGAGAGATTGGACTCTGTAATGTGCAAATTTCTGTCCGAGTCTCGCTATTCGACCCTCTTAAAGTTGGTCCGCATGTTGCTTGTCTTGTCCCATGGACAAGCCTCCATTGAGAGAGGTTTCTCAATCAACAACGAAGTTGAAGAGGACAATCTCCTGGGACACTCACTGATATCATTGAGGGCCATTTATGACCATATCAAGTATGTTGGAGGAATCAAGAATGTGACTATTGACAAATCAATCATGTTGGCTGCGTCTGCAGGCAGGCAGAAATACCACATCTATCTCGATGAACAGAGGCGTAAAAAGGAAAAGGAAAAGAAAGAAGGAAAGAGAAAAGGACTGATGGATGGTTTGGAAGAACTAAAGGCCAAACAAATGAGACTGCAAGCAGATGTGAAAAGTCTTCACACCTCAGCAGACAAGTATGCTGAGGAAGCAGAGTCACAAGGAAGATTGACTTGTATTTCCAAATCAAACAGCCTCCGACGTACAGCAAAGGAGAAGGCATCCCAGTTACAAGTAATTCAGAAACAGATTGATGAACAGCTGAATGCCATTAAGAATTATTAAAGAACTTGGACAGTTTGTTACCAATGCCACCAAATATTCAGACAGGTGCAATGTGTAGAGGGATTTCTTTCAAACAGCTACATGAAGATGTCTCAAGAAAAAACTCATTCAGAAATTATTGACCAGCTTAATGCTAGCGAAACAAGAATTCATCAGCTGATGTGAGTAGGCCTACTGTGTTTTGTTGGTGAAATCAAAATTGGTGATGGTATGTGTGTGAGTTTGTGTGTTGGTGTTGTTTTGTTTTCTTTTTTTTGGGGGGGGGGGGGTAGTTACCTTGTACATGCAAAGGAGAGCTATTGAAGGAATCATGGTGGTCCATGAAACCAGGAACAGGCAATTTGTATTCTTTAGAAGTGAAAATTGCCATTAAAAAATGGACAATTGTTGATATGAATACATGTATGTGTAATTGTAAGAATATTATATAGCAGTGCATATCGAATATGATGAAAAAATAACATGTAATTGTAACAGATGAAATAACTAGATAACAAAAGCTGCCTTTCTATTAGTAGACTTGAAACATGCACTTTGCTTCGCTTTGATTTGAGATCAAATTTTCAGTCTACCGTGTAAAAAAAATGTGTAAAAGTCATGGAAAGGTCATGGAATTCTGGCTAGAAAAGTCATGGAAAGTCATGGAATTAAATTTATGAGAAAGAGTATGAACCCTGGAGGATTAATGCCTTACCAAAGGGCACTAGCGCATCGCATTGGTTTCGAACCCGAGTCGCCAATAACAAGACCACTGCTCTACCAACTGAGCTATTGCGCCTCCTCTATTTTGTTTAGGAATCCCAAGAAGCAATCTTACAAATTTTTTGTTGTTTGAGCTCATCTAGACTTGCCGCAGTATATTGCAATAAAATACCTTTCAAATGAATAAAATTTAAATTTTGTTTCTTCCTTTAGTGAGTTGTCAGACGGCCATCACGCTCCCTCTCAATTTCGATTTAGAGTCCTTTCTCGGTAAGTAAACACCTTACTCTTCTACCATAAGCCTATCAGAAGTCATACTATGATTAGTGATTTTATAATAATTGATGTTAGTAACTTCAGAAGGGCTTAGAAAGCAATGATTAATTATAGACATGGGAGGGGGGAGACACTCACTGGTCAAACAAACAAAAACTTGCTAATAAAGCACTGTGATTAGTATTAGTATTGAATTACAGTCAAACTCTTCTTAGCAGTAACCTTTCTCGAAAGGCCATCTTTCTACAGTGGCCTGTTTTTGGGGGGGAGTGCCCTTAAGAAGCAGGTTTGGATATATACCTCGAGCAATTGCTCCTTCTACTAGTAAAAGTATAGCAGCATTAAACCATTTAGGTTGTCAAAGGCGCAATCTTGATCCTGGGCCCTGTTTCATTAAACTTATTATCAAAGAAATATTGTCACATTTCTATGATGACTTTGCATGCTTATTGAAGCAATCAAATGCAGTTATTTCACTAGCTTGTAACAATTGCTGTAACTTGATATTTGTAACAAAATTTATGAAACAGGGCAAAAGTCTACATGTATTTGACTCAGAGTTTAGTGTTCATTTTCAATGGTGAAGTAATACCATTTTTAGTTGCAAAAATAGGAAAATTATCTAAACTCTCTTGCTCATGAAGTTTAATCTATCTTCTAAGAATCTGTCCATCCGTTTGCATGGTTTAGCAGCTGCATTAAAATGAAAGGTACAATCTTGATTTATTTTCAAACTGAGTAAATTATTGAATTTCATGTAATGTGATTAACAGGTAAGGGTCGCTTCATGTACACCAAGTCCAGCGTGGAGTCCTTCCCCGTGGCTCCCCTGAGACGCAAGCTCTTTACCCAGAGCGAGTCCAGCTCCAACGGCCTTCCCTCTGCCAGCCCTCTATCAGTGAGCAGCAGAGAGAGCGGACCGTTCTCACCCTCTATCTCACCCATCAAGTCTAGCCAGGAGAGCAGTCCTGCGGAGTACGGCCATGTACCAAAGACACCAAGTTCTGTTGAGGTGAGACTTGGGATGGATCGATAGTGGTGATAATGATGGTAATGTGGAGGAGGATTGTGGCAGTGATGAGGAAAGTGATGATGTAGCTGTTAATGAAAGTTTAACTGGTAGTGCTTGATTCTGGTGATTTTGATTGTGGTGGTGATGATGACTAGGATTGTAATGGTACCTCCATCATTGTGGTTATGATGGTGGTGGTGCTAGTCGTGATGACAACTATTGTAATAGTGACAGATATGATGGTGGTAATGAGGAGGATATTGATGATACAACCGTTAATGATAGATGAATGGTTATGCTTGCAATAATGAGCAATGAATAAAATTACCACACTTAAACTATTTTGATAAAGTTATTAATTCTGTTACCCTTTCCTTCTCCTTGAACCAATTTTTATCTTCTATATAGAGCCAGTTTTCTTCCAGTCCTATCGCTCGTTTCAGGACCACTCCACTTCGACCAGTCCCTCATGTGCAACACCAAGCATCACCTCTCTGTGGCAAAATGGAATCTCCCTTGATGTCACCCATAAGAGAAGTCCCACAAGGTACAGGTACTTGTATTTCTTAACCTTTTGCTTGGTATTGTTACAGTAATAAGTGTAAGCAAATTTCTGTATTACAATACCCTTGGCAAGCATGTAGACATACACCTGCACAAGCACTCTGGGTTATTAAAAGCTGACCAAAGAAATTTTGAGTCTATCTGTTAGCAAGTTAAAATTAATTGTGTTACAGTTTCTGATTGTTTCTGGCGTGTACTGTTAACGCACAGTATCCCACAGCTTGTGTATTTAAAATTCGTTTGATATCATACATGGTATAAATTTTGAGGTGTTCACACTTATACAAGCATTGCTTTTTAGTGGACCCCTCTGTTACCAACATGTATTTCTTAAATTTGTTTTAAAAGCTTATAATTGATTTGTAATGTTATGTTGGAAACATGAATGAATTGAAATTGATATAAAAATTGAAATTGAAATTGAAATTGAAAGTTGTATGAGAGTTCAGTGAAATACAATAATTTTCATCTTTTACTAATTTTATGCAGGTCTCCCACCCAGCCCTATTTCACACAGCCCTGTTGAATCACTGAGTAACGGTGACCATATCTCACCCTTAGTCATCAAGGGCACCTCACTGTACCAACCACCACGGCCTTCTGAGAACATGATGGAAACCAGTCTTTCCAAAGCGGGTATTCTAGAATTCAGACCCCAGATGGCCGATGTAGGGAGAGACGGAGGAGAAAAAGAAGGGATGGAGGGAAGGACAAAACTCTCGCCCAATCTGAGAGGGATTTCTGAAAACGAAAGAGAGGGGGAGGGAGAGATGGACAGAAGACAGGAATCATTGATGAAAGTGTTTGATAGGAGTGACAGAGAGGAAGAATTTGATCATGGATCGATAGAAGAGTTCGATGAAAATGTCGGAGAAGAACTGATGGAAAGAAGGAAGGATTTCACTCTTGGTTTGACAAGAGAGTTGAGCCCTATACAGAAGATTGGTGACCATATCTCAACGCTAGATGAACCAGGTTGCTCATCAAGACTACATGGTACTCAAGAAGAGAGCAGTATGGATACCAGTCTCATGAGTAACAGGGGTAGGTTTTGTTCAATGTTATCTTTTGTATATTCTTGTTTTCTTTTTTTGTTAAAATAACCATCAACATCTACTCTTTAAAGCCCCACTGCACTACGTATAGCTACTTGTTCCCTCTATACAGCAAACAATACCTAATCGGTGCCTGTTGGTCCCCCATGATCCTCTTTTTCTTATGTTAATTGAGAGCTGATTTGATGAGATAAACGACCTGTCAGTAACCTTGCAGGGAGGTCTAATCCTCCTGGCCAAACTAGTGCAGACAGGCTTTAAGAGCTCTACCATATATATATGCTTCATCCTCAAGAGTCTTGGGCTTTTTTTGTCAAACATATTTTAGGTTTTTTTTTGTTGTAAAGGGATTTTCATTTGGGTTATGTTTTGGGGTTACAGGGTTAGGCATTGTGTTCAGTTCAGGGTTGAGTACATGGTATTGACTGTGAAGCAATAGTCACTGGGCATTGTCATAAAGCCTCTCTTTGAAACTCCACGGCCCAAATTCACAAAGGAGGTTTAAATTAACATATGGTTAAACTTTCATTTACATATTAACCCATGGTCTAAAATTAGCGCAAAATACGCGTGACACAGTCAGAGGTCAAATATTAGACGCGTGCAAGGCAAGTTATGTTTAATTTGCACTAATTTTAAACCATGGGTTATGAAAATGAGGGTTTGAACCATAGGCTAAATTTAAACCTCCTTTGTGAATAAGGGCCAACAATTTTGTTTTGTTTTTTGTTTTTCCTTCTTATCATTTTGATGATTCCAGTACCTTGCAGTACACACCAATACTTATGATCAACCTTTTCTGATTGATTCCACAACGTTTCTTTCACAATGCAATCGCATGACCAGAAGTCAACTTTATCTTTAACTAGTAAAACATTTGACATGTGTTCAAAGACTTTTATCAACTTTATTTTTTTCATTGCATACAGGTCAATTGAGGGAGAACATTCATGCAAGCAGTCCACCAAGAAAGAATATTCCATGTGACTTCTCATTAGAAGCCAGCACTGCTCTTAGCCCTATCCCAAAGACTAGTGACCTACCACTCTCCCTACCGCTCTCCCCAGTCAGGGCAGGGGCAGACGAGACCAAAGACGGGGTCAAGATCCAGTCTTTCCGACCCAAGGGGTGCCACAAGATGGTCTCCTTTCACATCGGGACAGAGTTCAGCCCCATCCGATGTGCAGAGAGTGGTAGTCACCACATCTTGGGACAAACCTTGCCCATCACGTCATCTCGAGTGCATGAGAGCAACACAGAGCTGTTGATGGAAACCAGTCTCTTTTCTTTTGATGGACAAGAAGAGGCAGAGGGTGATCGATCAGAGAGAGTAGAGAATCTTGGGGCAGATACAGATCCAGGTGGTATGATGATTAAGGTCGTGAGGACAAGCCCTCAAGAAGATGTCGCAGGGTCAAAGTTGTTGGACAATGTATCAAGAGGAACTAAAGATGTTCACAAGGAAAAGGAATATTTAGAGTCAAGTCGTGATGAGCTTAGACAAAAGTATGTGAAAACAGCATCCCAGGATGTCATGGAAAGGGAAGGTATGGATCATCCCCTTTTACATGAATGTAAGGACAGTTGTGTTTCCAATTCAGCTGATGATGGGGCCTTTCGGCATCCTCCTGAGAATCTCAAGATGTTTTTGAGAACTTCAAGTATCCGGGACGGTGCCACCTCCAGCTGCTGCAGGCCATACGAGCCATGTGACCATTCCAGCGCGTGCTGGGTAGCGGATTCAAACTCCTCTTCTCTAAAGGGTGAGGCACTTCTAGGAGAACGATCGTTTCCGCTCCAGAGCCCCATGGTATCTCCAACATGCCTGACATCAACGATGCGATACGGCACGCCAACTGTCAATCCACCTTTTGGACTGCCTGCAAGAGGTGTCCAAAGTGCCACCCCATCGATGGACTTCAGTTCAGTCTCCTTGATTGCAAATGCTTCTTCTACGAAGGAAACCGTGCAAACGTGCGAAGAGGTAGATCATTCCACCGGCACAACCAGAGGACGGTTCCACCAGGAGTCTTCCAGAGACCTGAGGTTTGATGAAGTGGACTTCTATGAGAGGGTCGAGGACTGTTCGATGCAAACGTCTTTCAGGAAATCCGTTGCGTGCTCCATGACAACCAGCAGGAGCTACGACTCTTTGCGGAAGTATGCAGAGGAGAAAGCGAACACGAGTGTGCAAGAGGATTGGCTGATGACGTCGTTGTCGGAGGCAGATCTGCAGAGTCACAGGTCTTCTGAGCTCCAGGAGATGGTTCCTGGCGGAAGGGAATCTGCAGGAACCGCTCCAGCAGGTTTGCTCCAACGTGGTGTGAACGAACTTGGTGCTGCAGCGCAACAGGGTCATAACTCCCATCCCGTCTTTCAGAGAAGTGCCTCAGACCCGCCCCAAGGGGCTGAAATGCGAGAAGGATCTAACTCCTTCGACTTTCAACCGAGTCATCCAATGGAGGATATGCAAGAAGGTAGCATGTCTGTCCATAACGAAACTCCTAACATAGGTCACGCCACAGAACGTGGTAGTCTATCCAGGCTAAACGTACATCAGAAACTCTATCTGAACACAAATGTGCAAGAAGGACTCATCTCAGGGGATATCAGCAAAACGGACGTAACTCCTCTGAGGCCTATTTCGGTAAACCTACTCTCTCATGTAACCAGAGCTGGAGTAGACAGTGGGTACAACACACACAGTGCAAATGTTTCAATGGATATTGGTGATGTAGAGAACAGCTCCTGAAAAATTATAGGTTCCATTAAGTCATGAAGGGCTATAATTAGATCTCGCTGATAATAACATCTATGTACAATGTAAGAATAATGACAAAAAGCACTGGATAAAATGCAGACATCAAGTTCTGAACTGATGTCACATCAAAGGAGCTAAAATGGTTGGCTCTCAGTCTCTGAAAATATTTTCTAGGTCTGTCTTTTCGGGAAAGTCCACCATGATATTGAGTTCATTTTAAGAATGAGAGAAACATGTCAGAGAACGTTTGAGCAAAAAGAGATTAAAATTAAGAAAGTTATGAAATTTTGAAGGTGCGATCAATCAAATACAAATTGGCTACTCTGTGATGTATCTTGCAAGCTCCCATCCAATACGCCCTGTTTTAAAAAAATCATACAAATCACCCTGAATATAAATATTTTCTAAACATGATTTTATACAACTCCTGTAAGGGTTGTATGAAATTAATTTATAAATCCAATCCGTCATTACTGGAAAAAATGAAAGTTCTATACATTTTCATGTCCCGAGCAATTGGAGAGGGGCTCTAATTATTTATATCAGAGTGGTGCCGATTTGTGTTTCACTGATCACAACTTCAACAATTCATAACTTTCCTATAACTAATGTGATTTTGCTCAAACCTTCACTAATTTGATTCTCTCATTTTTCTGCTTTTATTGATTAACCAACTTAATATCGGGTAGACTTCACCTTGAAGAAATTTGGTGGCCAAACGATACCATCAAGATGAGCAAACCGTTCACAATAATATGATTACTGTTCATATACCCCTTGTAAATTCAATGTTTTTATTTTTGTGTGTTTTTTGTAATTCAAGAATGAAAGGTGGACCAGTTAAATTAAGGCCTTTGTTGTATACTTCTAGATGTAAGTGTTAATATGTCACATTCTCAAGAAACATAAATAGGGACAAGTTAAATTTTCACATACTGTACTGTACTTTAAAAATGACGAAACTTGGGTAGGATATGAATAATTTAGCTGTTAACTATAAATTCATTGGAATCTGACCTACAGCAGTGACTTTAATTACCTTTTATTTATTCACAAGAAGGGAGTGATTTAGAAGAACTTTTTGTATCAGTTTGTATCAGTTGTACAATGTGTTATACCTAGCTAGAATTGACAGTATAATTTGATAATAAAACAGGGTATTTTTTTCAAGTACAAAAGTAAATTAGACTCTTCCCTCCACGTATCCATTTATTTGCATTGTCTTAGCTGCGTGCATCTGACGCAAAGGCAACCTGAATATAATCCAGATGGTCTGACTCCATAGGATCGTAAATTGTATACAGGTGTATAACAAATCGTCGCTGTTTTCACGAAGTGACGGTAGTGAAAAAAATTGCATTCACTTTGCGTTACGATTTTCCTCACTACCGTCACTTCGTGAAAACAAGGACGAAATATTGAATGGAATTTCGTTGTTCAATGTAAGATATATTCACCTCCAAATTAAGAGTTTCCTATGTGTCATTACATTTCAAGCTCGGCCTGTTGCCTTGGTGAAATATAACATGACTTGTTGAAATTTTGAATTTGTCTGTTCATATATTTTGTTATATTGAACTCCTGAATATGCAATATTTATACATGTATAATGTTTAGCCTTAGTTTAATAGACTACATACATCTACATCCATCAACATCATTATGTTCAGTTTACTATGATAAACGTTAAATTAATTCTGTGTACGCCACACAAATAATCTCTGTTAGCCCCTTTGTAAGCATTCATGTGATTAAGACTTCAAGATTATATTTTTACGGTTCTGTGCATTGAAACATTTCCCTTTTTTTCCCCTTTCTTACAAAGCGACTAGAAAAGGTTAATTATGAATACCTATTGGTATTGCTTAAACCTTCGTGCTTTTTTCCATATTTTTTATGACGACACAACAGGGGAGTCATCCAGGTTCCCATTATTGTATGAAATTATTTAATGGTACATTAAATGGTATATTAAATGTAAATATCCACATACATGTAGTGCAGAATTACTTGACAGGATCCCATTTTTTTTTAATTATTAGTATCCTTAAAGTTTACACCCACATCTGTCGAATTGCAATATGAACAACAATACACATAATTATGAAAAAAGAGAAACAATGTTTGTATCTTGATCCTATGATAGTTTTTGCAAAAGTAACACTGCTATGATAAAAGTTATACGTGTAGCTACCTGACTTGTGTAGGCATGTGTGATAACTTTGTTTTGTTGGTTAAAAGTTATAGATATTCATGTTATATAGACTCAAGTTCATGTGCCATATTTTCTTTATACATAGATGTAAGAATACACATGTATGATAATAATAAATATTTCGATTTGAATATATATGAACAAAATTTGAATGAAGATTTTATCCTACTTGTTATGTATGTAAGGCATGTGTTCACGGCACATCATGTAACCTTTGAGAGAGAGAGTGCATGTGAGAGACACATTTGATATCCAACGAAAAAAAAGCCATACCATAGAATTAGTGCTAAGTTCAAGGAATGGATTAGAGTTTCTATCGCTCAAGTTTCTTTCTATCTTGAAGCTTATGAATTGCTAAAACTGAATACGAGAACATTCAGGGTTCCGCCCATGGACCCCCCCCCCCCCCCAGAGGGTGGTTGTCCTAGGGGGTAGTTGACTGGGGGTGGTTATCCGAGGGTAGGTCTCCAGATACGGTCCAGACTAAACGGGGTAACCATGATTCTTCATTCTTATTGCAACCCTAGGTCCGTTTGTTTTGCACAATACTATTCAGACATTGAACCCGGGAGAAGAACTGTTGATGTAAATCACGTGGGCCTATAATGTTCTTACAGTGTTAGGGTCATTATGAAGAACAAAAATGTATAGAAAAATCGGGAGCTTGCCTAATCAATTTTTATTGAAACTATTTGGTGTCCAATAACAGCTAGGAAGGAGAATCACCAGATATGGCAGTATATCAGTCAACTGTGCTGCATATATAAGGCCTGCAATGTCTGACGCTTGACATAAATTACGCTTGACATAAATCACAGTTGAAAAGAGAGATCGAGACAATTAGTTTCTGAACCCCCCCCCCCCCCCCCCAAAAAAAAAAATAATAATAATAATAATAATAATAATAATAAATAAAAAAAAAAAATACAACTGAGAGACAGAGTGCAACTCTGAAAACGTCACGAATGAGTTTGAGTTTTGAGTTTATTTTATTTATACACGGTAAAAGCCCGAAACAGTTCGCAGACTGGTTTCAATCAGGGCCGTGTCGATAAAAAACAACATAATCATGACATATATAAACAAAAGTAATATAACACTGACAGATTCACAACCATAACACGACAATAATAGGAAATAAGCTAAAAACACTTTACTTAATTAGAACTATATTGGTAGACCTAAAAGATAAACAATTAAATAAGTTACATATATGATAATCATAATCTGTTTGCATATTTATATATATAAAGTAAAAACAAAAAGAAGTTTAACAAGATTATAAATAAGTTAAAAACATATTATGTATTCATGTAAAATATGAAATAATCAAACTTTAAAACAATAAACAAAAGAAAACACACATAATATAGAATGTGTAATAATTGTGAAATTAAGACAAATGCGTATTCCATATTAAGTAGAAGTAAAATGAAGTATGGAATAATAATAAATACTTAAGAGCATTATGAATATGGATCAGTTAAATACTACATATATAATTGTTTTTGTTTTTAAAGAGACAAAAACTGATAACGTATTGCAAAGATCATATTGCACACGAATAGACATTTAAAACATATTGCGTAGGAGTAATATAACATAAATAACAATGATAAATAGGTTGAAATTATGAGATAAAAATTGTATACAACTATAAAACCTTAAAAACAAACAACAACAAAGCTCTCTTAAACTAATAAGTTAGCCCCTCCCCACACACTTATTTCGTATTACGTCAGCTTTGCCTTAAAAATATTTAACGATTTAGCACCTTGTACTTCATGTGGCAAGTTATTCCATGTTAAGGCCCCTCTATATTTAAAAGATCTTTTCATAGTCTCAGTCTTTGGTCTTATTGTTTTCACATTATACAGACTTGAACGTGTATATGTATGGTCAGCAAATATAAACCTTTCTACTAAATACTCAGGAGCTAAATCCTTACATGTATCTCTGTAATGTATGTATTCCATATACGATTGAGACATTGTTGACCCCATGACTCACCTGTTTATTAATAGAATACCAAATTGTAATCAGTTGCTCTAAGCTTCGTTCAATTAAACCCGTCGGGAATTCATATCTCTTTAATGTTCATCCATGCGAGCGAGGCATTGTTAAATTTATTTTTAATTATTCCTCAATTTGATCGTGTACGTCACGAATACATATCTCTGCAATGTCATTCCATGCCAGCAAGACATGGTTGAATTCATTTTATTTCCTGAACTTGATCGCGTTCAACTAGACTTGCTGGCGCTGTGTGTTATTACTTCATCGTAATTAAGTTCACCTTTAAATACCTATTGAAATGGTAGCTTGATACATTGAATGAAATTTGAAGGAACATAAATTCTAAATTATCAGTACTATGCCTTTTCTCTTATAATTATTTTAGATCTACATCTAAGATATCACCGAATTAATTTGTTATCTGAATCTAAAAATATCAACAACAACAAAAAATGCAGGTTGTTGCACACAAAATTGCGGGGACGATAAACAAGGAATCAGGGGCGTAAATCCAGGGGGGATATGGGGGGGGGGGGCTGCATCCCCCCTCCCTGGCTTGAAGTAGGGGGATGGCTTGTACAAACATCCCCCCTGATATTACCCCAAAAAAAGAGAGAAAAAAAAAAAGGAAGAAGAAGAAGAAGAAAAACATGTTATTGTTTCAATTTCAGCATAATGCATGAGAAATTAGTTTTTTGTTTATGTATGTATAACTATATAGCCTACACGTATGTCACGATCATTATGAGTAGTTGCACGACGTGCGCGAACAAGCACTTCTTTAACTTCAGAATAATTTTTCGTTATTTTGCAAGGTATTATATTATAGCCAAGACGTAAAGTGCGCCAGCGCGCGAGCGCTTAAAAAGTGCAATCAGTACAGTAGATGCCCGGATCCCCCTCCTCACTCAGTGTTATTTAGGGTACGCGTACGCTCGTTCCTTCCCTTTAAAAGCACCCCTCCCCCCACCCTATCTCAGGACTGCCAACATTTCTGAATCCCCTTTTCACCGGCTTTTCGCTGGCTTTTCCTGCCTTGGAGACCCCCCCCCCCCCCCAAATCCGGAACACTGCTAAATGTACCACCACCCCCCCCCCCCTAATTTCAGGTGAGCTCTAGTCGATCGAGGGGGACTGGGGTCAATGTTTTTACTTTTCAAAATGAAATAATCCTGAATGAGCTTTCAAAGCTAGCAGGAATTTCAGGAATTTGATCCCGGGATTTGATCAATTTTTCTATGGTATTCAAGATATTTTATAACCTCCTTTTTACATTTCTCAGGAGTCCAAAGAGAGAGAAAAAAAAAACACCCCCTTTTTAAAGAAATTAAGAGTCGAGAACGGTACAACGGATCGTCTTTTTCTCCAATGATTTAATGAAACGTAAAAGCTTCCGGACTTTGCGCGGGCGGAGGAAGGGAAAAACTGAATTCAGATGAGGATTAAAAGTCGAGAACGGTACAACGAATCGTCTTCTTTCTATAATGATTTAATGAAACGTAAAAGCGGGGGGGGGGGGGCTGAATTCAGATGAGGATTAAAAGTCGAGCACCGTACAACGAATCGTCTTCTTTCTCTAATGCTTCAATGAAACGTAAAAGCGGGGGGGGGGGAACTGAATTCAGATGAGGATTAAAAGTCGAGCACCGTACAACGAATCGTCTTCTTTCTCTAATGATTTAATGAAACTTAAAAGCTTATAATGCGCTTCGCGCGGGAGGGGGGAAACTGAATTTAGATGAGGATTAAGACGCGAGAACGGTAGGCCCTACAACGAATCGTCTTCTTTCTCTAATGATTTAATGAAACGTAAAAGCTTCCGCGCTTTGCGCGGGAGGGGAGGGGGAACTGAATTCAGACAAGGATTAAGAGTCGAGAACGGTACAACGAATCGTCTTCTTTCTTTAATGATTTAATGAAACGTAAAAGCATCCGCGCTTCGCGTGGGAGGGGGGGGGGGGGCTGAATTCAGACGAGGATTATTTTCGAGAACGGTACAACGAATCGTATTCTTTCTCTAATAATTTAATGAAACTTCAAAGCTTCGGCGCTTTGCGGAGGAGGGAGGGGGAAATCGCCTCTCC